GTTGACAATTTCACTTTTTGCTGTTCTCCTTAGAAGATTACAAATTTAGTGTATAGCTCCCAAACTGACTGAGGCAAGACAAGAATTAGTGAGAAAAGAAGACCAGCCACAGAGAAACAATTAGGATAACTATTGTCGATGTGATGAGGGAGAACATAACTTTCTCCATTTCAGTCACTAGGTGGTGTATGATCTTGTAGACAAAGTTTTACTTACCTGATAGCAGATTCCCTTTTTCTTGTTGCATCTGTAATATGCACTGGAAGGGTATTGGAAGAGAGAGAGGAAAGTGCAGTCAAAGAATGACTTTTTTGCACAGAAACCTTGGAAAGTTGTTGAGAATCCTGAAAGAAATGGAACTTTATTCAGTGTGATTTTTCACAGCACAAAAGCTCCTCTGTTCTTTTGTCTAGTAATGAGAACAGTTGGAGGTATGTGGGCAATGCACTCATTCTTCTGTCTTCCATCATTAGGGATTTACATGGGGACGGGCTGAGAGATGAGCAGGAAGGAGACTTGCTTAGGAGTATGGAAGGGAAGCTGAGCCTTAGCTGCCATAGCTCATCTCTTTGTTCTTTGATTTGTCCTAGAATTCTGCAGTACTCCTGAGATAAATACCAAGGCCACAGGTCTCACTAAAGGACATAAACTATAACAAATAAATGCTATGTATTTAAGAACTTGCCATCAGGGAAATCGGGGAGAACAGTACCACAGAAACATCGAGTCATCTCACCTTTATCTTTTCATTAGCTTCTCTCTGCCTGCCACGGAGGTTGGAGGTTCGTAATTTGAATGGCTTAATTCGAGTTGCCTCTTTGATTTCTTGTCTTCTTACTGCTTCCCTCTGAAATGCCCAATAAAGTTCCTCAAAATCTGGTACTGTTGGATTAATCCTTGGCTTGAAGCTGAAGCTTCTGTCCTGCAAGAAGCCAAGTCTTTCCTGCTTAGTTTTAGTGGCAGTTCGGGACTGAGGATCCCTCCGACAGTTGGTAGTATCTATTGGAGCTACAGAGCTCTCCAGCAAATCCTTGGCTCTCATCTGAATGCGGATTTCTCTGTAGAGTTCAGCTTCTAATGAATTAAAAACAGCATGAGAAGAATACAAGTGATGTAAAAGGCTGCAAAATTGCCACTGCACGCTGTAATTATTTTTTTTTTCTACAATGGCAACTACTCATATAAGTGCAAACAGGTATCGTGTATCTCTTTCCCCACTTTCCACCCCTTCTCTGCCTCCAAGTTGAAAAAAAATCAAAGGAGCACAAAGAACCATGGTTGTGTCTCACTCTCAGGCACTATGACAGATCTCTTTCTGTCATCACAGTAAGATATTGAACAGGCCTTTTCCTATTACTGTTCTTAGGGTTCCAGGTCAAGGTTTTATATTTTGTATTGGACATGGTGTCATAAAGCTGACTGTGTGATCCAAACAGGTTTTTCAGATGTAATGGATGATGGCTTTTCTATCTAATATGCAGCAGTGTCTGTCTATGCTGAAAAAGATTTTAAGTAAGGAAGGTTTGGGTATAACATCAAACAATGTCCTTTTATGTGCAACACTAAATATTAATGAAAATGTAGACAAAATAAGAAATGTTTTGAGTGTGTTTATATGTTTGCACTGATTGAGATATGAAATGCTCATTCCCCCTTCCTCCTCATGAAACAGGCAGAAACAGAAAATGGTTTATCCTTTGCTCTCTTTTTACATTTCCAATCTACTTAATTTAGTACACTATAACATGTTTTTCTGATGAAAACTGAGCTGGTGTTGTACTCAAGAAGGAATTGATGGCAAGTAGTTAAAAAAAAAAAAAAAAGAGAGAGAGAAAAGCAATGATAACTGTCACAGGGTGGGGTTTGGAACCCTCAGGATCTTTAAAGTCCATTCCAATATAAGCTGTTCTATCTGGTTTAGCCCCTGTCATCTGTACTGTTCCCTTTTAACTTGCAACTGTGACGGCTTAAGCCATCTGAAAAAAAGAGGATCAGGAAAACTCCCTTGACTGTCTCTCCCTCTAAAATGGTCCAAGCACCTTCCTCACTTGTTTCAGGAGTGTGACTGAAAGGTATCAGAAAACACTAGAGAAGGGCAGGAGACGCTGAACTATGGCGCTATTGCATAGAACTGGACTAATTACCTGATTTGGGCTCAGGGAATATTTTTCTCCTAGGAAATAGTTCTGTGCAACTCAGATGACTTGGGTGGGAATGAAAATATCAATTCCAAGATACTGCCTGAACCACAGACACTTTTAGTTTTCATACTTGTACCACACTTCATGCGAGTGCCTTTAGGCTAACCAAAGGAATTCACTTTAAGGAAGGATTCCTAAATATCATGATATGCTGCAAAAGAAACGTAGAAATTTGAACAGCTCAGTGTATCCATTGGTTTTTGGGAGTGGTGTAGAACTGCCACTGCTGACTCTAGTACAAGACTATAAAATTTGGGATTCCCTATTCTAAGAGTCTCTAGATGAAATGTAATGATCGGTAGTATAGAGGAGACTAGACAATATCAGAGGATGTAATGATGTTGGTTTTATACTCCAAGTGATTTAATGGAGGCCATGATTCTACCTCCTAGCACTGAGACGGCAAGGGACGGTCAGGGAGGTGTTTGGTTTTTTTTGCAGGAAGAGCCCAAGCACTTTACCTTTGAGTTTATCTCCAAGGAGTGTGTCATTAGTTGATCTAGGAACTTTTCTATTTACTTTCTTCAGTTTGGAGCTGTCATTTGGGGTTGCTGCTGCTAGGAACTTTTGTCTGATAGCTTCTTTCTTTTTCTCCTCCTTTTCCAGGAAACTGAAGGGTCTCTGAGTGGAAAGTAGCAGCTCCTTTCTTTTCTGTGTTGCTATTTGCCTGCGAACCTCATTCTGTTCCATTATTTCATGATAAAGGGGCAGAAACACGTGGGCAGGTACAGGCTGTGCCCGGAACTGTTTCTGACATTCAGCTTCATCCTGGCTTTGCCTTCTGTCTCTCAGTTTGTCTAATTCAAGAAACATGTTTGACTTCATCAGCTGGGATTTTTTGTGAGCTTCTCGCAGTGTCATTTTGAAGGGCTGAGGGATAGTGATGGAAGGAATCCAGGGAGATGAAGCACTTTTTGGCCTCAAGCGGGGTTTAGGAAACAAGTGAGGCTTTTGTTGATCCCAGGTACTGTCCGAGGTGAGGTCAATCAAAGAACGGGACTGCCTTTTGTTACCAGATGTATGACTAAGACAAAGACATTATGAAGGGGAAATAAGGCAAATTATTAAAAATTAGAAATGAAAGAAGGGAGATCTGTTGATTAAGAGAAAGACACTGTACGCTGAGCTGGTAGTCAGAAGACAGGCTTAGGCCTCACTGTTCTCCGTCTCCAAGTTTTGCTTTGCTACCTAAGTTCATAAGCATAACTTTGCTTGTTTTCAATTTTCCATATACAAAATGCAGTTGTGACTATCTAGATTCCTAATGCAGCATTATGATGCTAGTAAGTTGTTGCTATGAAGGCCATAAGTTAAACAGAATGTTTTAGTTTCAAGAACATTCAACATAAGATACCAAATCGGGAAAGGCAATAAGTTGGGCACACAGATGCACAAACTCTAACAAACAGAAGATAGCAGTACCAAACGCCAGAACTCCTAAGATAGAGATGGAAGCATGTCTGCAAGTTCAACTTTCAAGAGCTTCAGCTGGAAAGCTTGTAACTGTTAAGAAGAGAATGTAACTCATAATTAAACACAAACACAACTATCACGGGTTTCACAGAAACAGAAAACTCATAGGATGTTTGAAGATTGCATGTGGGACTGGCTAGAGCTATTGCGAGACATTTAAGGAAGGATCAAACGCAAGGAAGGATCAAAGTGGATCAGAGAGGACTACGCACAGACAAACAGGGAGGCACTATGAAAGGGAAGTGACCAATTGTGTGTAAACAGGTGGTTGCCAGGTGGTTGCTGCAGTTTCTCCTATCTTGTTCTTTATAAACTCTGCTTTTTATTTAAGAGGGTGTGATCTGTTAGTGAATTTCAAGCTGAACTAATCCCAGAGGACAGTGTTGGAAAATCAGGTGCAGGAGAGACCACAGTTCTGAAGATTGGATGCTGGCCAGTAAAACCCATGCACGTTATCTGTTAGCAAATTTCAATTGGCAAGCAGGAAGGGGATCGGCCATTTGTGCTGTTCATGCTTTATGTGAACACTATTTATGTGGGCCCCCGTTTGGGCCCGATCATCACACTGGTGAGCATTTTGGGCAGTGTGCTGGTACCACACGAACGTGGACAAGGTGCATGCCTGTGCTCATCGTGGGATCCACAGCGCCGTGCTACTGCTCGGAATTGGGGAGAAGCAGGAGGATTTCCCCAGGCATCATCCAGTCCTGTGGATTTTGCTGTCCTTAAAGGGCGCCGTCCTACCTGAGCACCGCGCACAGCCTGGCCCGCAGCGCGGCCGCCTCCCGCGAGAGGTCTCCGAGATCCTCATCCTCCTGGGAGGCGCTGACTTCGCTCCCTAAAGCCGCCTGGCATAGCAGGCCCAGATCCAACAGAGACCGACGGCCTTCCATCCTGGGGCCGCTGGGCAGACAGCTAACGCCGGAGGGGCTCGGTTATCCCGTATCACCTGGGAAAAAATCAAGGAGAGCTGCGGGGGTGACGGCTTCCAGAGAGGGGAGGGAAGCAATCGCTACCCACCGCTTCCCCCACCCTTCCCGGCTCAGACCAACCCCATCGAGCACGGACTCCATCCTCACCTGCGGGCCGCCGCCCCAGCACCGCGCCCGTCTCCCGCCAATCAGCGAGGCCGATTGCGTTTTAGACCCGCCTCCCGGCCTAAACAGCCAATCAAACTCTGAGGTGGGCAGATCCTCCAGCTCGCTCATTGGTGATCTGAAAGAACTGTTTTAGTCGCGCTCGCCCCTCGGGGAGAGGTACCGTTGTCATGGTTTCCTTGCGCGACTTCCGCCCGCTGGCTACGCTCGTGACGTCACTTCCGCAGCGATGGCGGCGGTGTGCGGCCGGGCCCTGCTGGCTCCGCTCGGCGGGCGGCTGCGGGCCTGTCCGCGGGCCTGTCCGCGGGCCCCGCTCCGCCCCTTCACCTCCGCCGCGCCGCTCTACGACGTGGTGGTGTCGGGCGGCGGCATGGTCGGCAGCGCTATGGCCGCCGCGCTCGGTAAGGCTGTGACCTTCTCCGCAAGTGGCCTGGTCCGGGCCGGGAGCGGGGACAGCGTGCAAAAAGGGGAAGTCCGTACAAAAAGAGAAAGCTTAATGCATGCTTTAACTGTACGGGCGTTATCGATCACAAAGGGTTGTTGTCATAAAGCTGAAAAGGTACTAGAGCTCAGCCGACTGCTCGGAGCCTGCCTTGTGGTGTTTTTCTGTGTAAGGTTTAGACTGTGCTCTGTCTAATCACAAAAACGCATAGGAGTTAGAGATGCAGAATCAAGAAGCAGGCATCTGACAGGAGCGTTGTGGCAAAGTATTTTGTATTTGTTTGTTTAAGGACATGATATCCATTTCCACGACAAGAAAATTGCCTTGCTGGAAGCTGGGCCTAGGAAGGAATATTGCTTGCCAGAGGGCTACAGCAACAGGGTCAGCTCCATCTCTCCTGGATCAGCAACCCTCCTGAGCAGTACGTGTCGCTTCAATGCTTGGTGTTCTGAACTGCCTGGGATTAAATAAGTGGAATTGTTTGGCTTTGTGTCAGTATTTTAAATGTTGAGTAGCAGTGATTGGCTCAGGCATCTCTTGATAACAAGATTCCACATTCTAATGGCTCAGTCTGATTTTTCTTTTTTAATATTAATATGTGTGCTTATGTTTACATTGTGTGTTAGTGTGTGTGATGCTGAGCTGGCAAAAGGTCGCAAAGTGCTCGCTGTAGCACCTAGGATGCTTTGTTCAGAAAATACGCATAATTCTCCCATGTTTTGTGCTTGCAGTCTGGTAACTCACTTCTGATCAATTTTCATTTCAAAGGCACGTTTGAGCCTTGATTTCAAATGAGGGAAGAAATATTATAAATGGTGATGGCCGTGATTTTTTGTGCCTATTGTGCTGCCCAATGAGAGTTGATGTGTAAGTGAGAGCATTTGAGGAGAAGTCTTGTGCCTTTTTGTTTGGCTTACATTAGCAGCAGGACGAGATGCTGGAGCTGGGAAAGCACTGACTCAGGCAGCACTGGCCCTGCTTAGGTGTAGTGGAAGCAGAGTCTAGGCAAATTATTAGCAGTTAGCAATACATGGACAGTGAGAGAGGGAAACACAAAATGAGCTTCAGCTTCATTTGGGTCTCTGTGTCACAGTGTGAACCTATTTGTGTCCTCTTTCTGTTTTAGGTTTTGGTGCCTGGGATCATGTCTGCAGCCTGAGGTGTAAACCGTTCCGACGCATGCAGGTGCCACACTCAGGGCTGCAAATACATTGTGTTTGCTGGCTTTGAATTCTCACAAATAATTCCAGTAGTAATCCAGAGTTTATTCTTTTGGCAAAGGGCAGGCCATAGTTCTCTCTTGGGAGATAACTGTTCTAAGAGTGGTGATGTTACAGGATGAAAGGTTGGTTCCTAATGGAAACTGTAAACATGGAGGTGTGGGTACGAGTCAGGAAAGACAGAAATAAAGGTAAAAGTGGTAGGGTAGCATTATGTGTTAATTATGTAACAGGGAAATAGGGGGGAAAAAACTTTCTGTTTTCAGAATTAGCGTCTGAGATTAATCTTGATCATTGCCTGAAAGGAATTATGTGATGTCTTTTAGTAGCTTAGAATGGACTATAATTCAGGATACATCCTCTAATTCTGCATTCCTAGATCAACGTGTTCTTTTGCTGTTAGGATGGATGTTTCCATGTTCTCTGAAAGGGGTGGTACCTGTTTATTTTGTAGCTTCATATAATGTTTTTCTTTGTAGGTGTGGGATGCTTGTTCTGAAGCCATCATCACTTTTGAGAAAGATGACTTAGACGACATGGGTTACATAGTGGAGAATGATGTCATTATGTCTGCTCTTACAAAACAGTTAGATGCAGTAGCAGGTAGTGGACAACTTCTTTAATATTGTATTTCCTCAAGAGAACTTTCAATAACTTGTCTTCTGATGAGTATGCTAAGTTAAGAGAGGGAGAAAGATGATTTATCTAACAAATGACTCTGGGACATGGGCAGCTTCTTGAAATGGGGGGGATGGAGAATCTATCTGCTGTAGGCTACACAGTGTGAAGACAGTTGTGCATTCTATTCACCAGCTCCCAGTTTCTCTGAAATAAGACTTAATAGAAAGATGTGTAGCGTTCTGTTTAGAGCGGGCTTTGCAGGGGCAGTTTGTCGGATCTGTTCGCTCTTGCCTTGAGAATTGTAGAATCTGTTCTTAGAGAGCCACTAAAGGTGTGCGTGGCCCTTTGCTGCTGTAGTGATGTTTCCTTTTTTTATGTCTGTGTCATGCAGTGACCATGGTACTTTGTGTTCCCACCAGACCGGGTGGAGGTTTTCTACGGGAGCAGAGCAGTGGGGTATACCTGGCCCCTTCCCTCTCACAGCAGTGACACAAGCCCTTGGGTCCAAATTGAGTTAGCTGATGGACGCAGACTTCAGACCAAACTGCTGGTAACTAAACTTTTTATTTCTGTTGATCAGGCATCATCTCTTGCCCAAGTCCTTTCCACTGGATTTGGTTCTGATTCCGTGTGTGCCGCTCCACCCACGTGGAGGGCTTAAGTGAGGTGAGTTGCTGACTGTCAGAGGTGCTAAGGGACAGACACACTGAGTAGGCTTTTCTGTACCTGATGCAAGAAAACTGTTAAACTTGACAGGAGCAGAAGGGACCACCTCTTCTGATCTGAGGGAGCTTATATGCATTTTCTTCTTCTGTATAAACAAAAATATGTGTACACAGTAGTGGAGATTTATAGACTGGAATATTGGCTTTGTCAGGAGCTGATGAAGAGGTAGCTCTGCATTTCTTTATTCCATAGATTGGTGCGGATGGCCATAACTCTGTAGTCCGGAAGGAAGCTGAAATTCAGAACATTGAGCATCAGTATGACCAGTCAGCTGTGGTGGCAACTCTTCATTTGTCTGAGGTGAAATTCTACAGACTGTCTCTTGTCTTCTGCTTAAGAGGATGATGTTAAGTCACTAGTTCCTAACTGTCCACTTCTTTCCACTATAGGCTACAGACAATAATGTAGCATGGCAGAGGTTCCTCCCCACAGGACCAATTGCACTTCTGCCAGTAAGATACCTCATGGTCTCTGTGTTTTTACTTTTTAGTATGTTCTTTTAATAATTTTTCTTCTGTCTGTGCCTTGCTATGCCTGTTTCGTCCTTCTACCTTTGAAGTTATTTCCCTTGCACTTTATCCTTGGTATTTCCTACCTGTAGTATGTTTGGCTGGGAAAGTAACATGCAGTTGGACTGGTATAGGAATAAGAGAGCGAGGAAAGCTTTGCATTGTTTGTTTGTTTTGTTTTTATTATTTTTCTCTTGATAATTACCCTTGAAATTCTTATATCCAGCTATCTGACACTACTAGCTCTCTGGTTTGGTCTACATCTCATGAACACGCTTCAAAACTTCTCACTATGGACAAGGAAAGTTTTGTGGATAGCATCAACTCTGCCTTTGTGAGTATCAGCCTTACAGCAGTTACGAGGCTGGCTGTTGCAGTCATGAGAAGTACAATGGAATTCTACAGCTTAAAGGATAGTAATGGAAAAGATGGGTTCTCAAACTGCAGCTTATGATAGGGATGATATTAGAGGACACTTGACAAAAAAAGGATGACCCTTTGGGACTGGTATAAGTTAGTTCTGAAAGGTATGGTAGAATCTGAACTAAATTTCTGAATGGTGGGAAGCATGGGCTTATCCTAGTTGAAGACTTATATGTGCTAAAGCGATGAAGGTAGTTTCTTCTGTATCTATTTTTGTCTTGGTAATTAATTGAATATCTGGAGCTAGATGAGATTTTCTTTCTTTTGAGTTCTTTTATATGTCCAGTGTGGGTCAACGTCTAAAGATTTCGTTCTGGTTGTTCGCTTGTTTCAGTGGAGCAACATAAACCATTCTGACTTCATTGACGCTGCTGGAGCCATGTTTCGATCTGCTCTTTCACTTCTGAAACCCTCGGGGACTGCAGTGCGTCAGCTGCCCCCCAGTGTTGCTGAAGTAGATCCAGAGAGCAGAGCCATGTTCCCTCTGGGGATGGGGCACGCAGCGCAGTACGTCAGGCACCGCGTGGCTCTCATCGGGTAAGGTCTCCGGAGCAGCTGCCGGGTGAGCGAGTGGTGTGTGATTAGAAATGATGTGAGCACAGCAACTCCCACGTTAGATGGTTAGAAATGCATTTATAGCTAGAGGCTGACTTTATCCAGGCCGTTCATATAATTTGCTCTTGTGGCAACAAAAGCCTTTTGTATGAATAGCTCTCTGCCTGTTGTGTATGCCTGCTGTGTAAATTGGACAGTTTTCCTTCTCTTGTTCGTGTAGCCCAGTGAAACAGTCCAGTGTCTCATGATGGACCTATACTTCCCCATACATAGCAGCTATTCTGTATATGAGTTTGAGTGTTCGCTTGTGTTGAGCACAAATGCCAAAACTTACAGGTAATTCTGAATAGGATGTCATAGGCTCTTGTGCAATTATCTATAGAAAGAGGGAAGTAACTCATCTTTTACATTCTGAGTGTACATTCTTCTCCCTCACATCTGCAGTAAGTTGGTAGTTTATAGTAATTTTTGATGCCGTATTACATTTGATACATTCTTTCTTTCCACCTTGAGTCACTTTGTGCCTATGAGTACTCTGTGCTTTATATCTCATTAGCATTTTACGTGCATGATCTTACATTTCATACTCATTACTTTAAGTAATATGTTCAGCTTCGTTCTTTGCAGATAAGTGTACTCCTAATTAAAAAAAAAAATTCAGATTCTTTTCAGTGATACATCACAACTTTGTATTCATTATGTCTCTCTGCTTTTGTTTGTGAAATGTGTTGGTGATATGCTTCCTCTTGTGCCACTTAGAAAAATAGTAAAGCCTGTTTCACGTGTGATCTGACACTAGACTTTAGCTAGTCACCTCTATCTCGGAAAGGTAAAATCAATCTTTTTGCTGACCCCTCTTTTTCTTGCTTCTTGTAGCTGGAGGTCAGAACAGGGTACATATACACATACAGCTTTAGGGTACATATACACATACAGCTTTATCTGAGGTACTGGATGAAGCTGTATATGCTGCTGTAAGATCATGTTAATTGCAAAAAAGTGAAGAGTTTGTCAGCCACAGCTGACTTGGCTTTCTTCAAGAAGGGTTATTCTTCTGTCTTCTCTTGCTCTAGGGATGCAGCACACAGAGTCCACCCACTTGCAGGACAAGGTGTAAACCTGGGTTTTGGTGATATTGCATGTTTAGCTCATCACCTCAGTGCAGCAGCCTTCAGCGGGCAAGATCTGGGTAAGGATCCAAGACAATGAGGTGGCTGTGAGATGTGTAGCCTTACAAACCTCTGCTGCTGCCATCAGGACAAGCACCATCTCTGTTTGCAGGTTGAGCTTGCTGCTTTTTTTGCTTAAAAGACACAAGCATGTTTGAAGCAAAACTCTTCTTCTATTCACTGGCTGCAGAGGAATTAAAAATACTTGGATGCCATTCACATTCTCAAAACCTAAAAAAATGCTTTAAAAAAGCAAAAAGATGTGCAGGATGGTAGTTAAAGGTAGTGAGACACTACCACTAGCTGATGGACTCAAGCTTATATTAAGATGGACCATTTATCTGTTCTGTGTTTTCAGTTATCTGTGGAGACTGCTATACAGATAAGATGCACAATTGTTTGTGGTCACTTTTTTACTCACAATGTGAGTATTCAATTATTTCTTCCAGGATCCTTAAAACATCTCTTAAGGTTTGAGACAGAACGTCAGAGGCACAATGTCTCCTTGATAGCTGCTATTGATTTACTGAAGAGGCTTTACTCCACAAGCCTTTCTCCCTTGGTGTTGCTGAGGACATGGGGATTGCAAGCAACAAATGCCCTGCCTCCCATCAAAGTAAGATTCTTCCTTTGTACACGAGCCATTGAGGAAATTTTGCAATTTTAGCATTTTTGGTTGGAAAATGCTAAGTTGTTCAAAATGAGGTTTTGTGTTGTGAATGATCCTGAGGGTTTCCTAAGTAACTGTGATGGCTATGGTTTCTTCGCAGCACAGGGGAACATGAAGGATCTCGATATCTATATTCTACATCAGTGATTGTGGGTCAAAAGTCACTAGTAGTCTTTGGCTTTATTTTGCTATGGAACGCGAACGTGGAACTTTGAACTGCATTCCAGAAATGCATTGTGAAAAAAATAGCCCTCTGAAAACAAACCTTCCTTAAGAGTAGGATACCAGGTGACTCGACAGATGTGGGGTGCGACTTATACAGATACTGTTTCTGCACTGTTCTACTCTGTTAAATTGTTCTCTCCAGGCTGAAGTTGAAGTCTTCAATGGAAGTCACCTGAGAAGGTTCAGACTTAAACACAGAACTTCTGTTTTCAGCCTAGCTGCCAGAAATTTGTATAGCATTGATGTAGTTGGTGGATTTTCATGATGTTCACTGAGGCACCTTCTCTCAAAGGTTCCACATGCCTTCAAATTAGATTTCTCATTTCTGAATTTGGCAGTTCTGTTGCACATATCAAGTCACCTCCTTACTATTAAAACACAGATGGCCAGATTCCTGTGCATTACATTACGGAAGACACTAGGCTGAATTGATGTCTCTAGTTGTACTAAGAAGAGCAGTACGCTGCTGCTTCACTGCTTGGTGTTTATTCAGCTTCTCTGTTGAAAGCAGAAAGCCGAGCAAAGGCCTCTTTTCTGACCACAGAACGTGTTGGTTCTGTCTGTTTGTGCTGTTCAAGAAGGAAAAGAATGCTGCAATTTCTTTAATTTCCTTGCATGCAGGGATGGGTACTCTGCACTTAATTAAAAGGCTGACAGGAACTCTTGTCCACATGGAAAGGGGAAGGAGATTATGGCTACTTTCTGAAATGTGCACTTACCAGTTTACAAATTACTTTTCTTTCTTTCTCCCTTTTTTAGGAGCAAATCATGGCTTTTGCCAGTAAGTGATCCGTTCTCAGTTTGGATCAGCAGTTTGCCAGTGTGTGCATTATTTGTATAAGGACTGTCGCTGATACAATTTTTGAATTGTGTTATTTTAATTTAACAATAAAACTGAAGTACTGAGCTGTGTCTTACACCTTCTCTGGTTTATGCAGATGATATCTCATCTGCTCCTCTCAGCAAGGTTTGAGGTCTCTTCCTGTGGTACCATTATCCCTTCGGCCACTGAACTGTCTGTACAGTCTGCTTTTAGTTTGAACCTTTTAAATTGAAGACTGAAGTGGACTGGGCTGAATTTTGCTAGCGACAAATTTTGTTGTTTAATTACTTTCAGTTTTTCATGGTGTGATTCTGAAACTGTTATGTCAATTCTGTGTTCTTAACCACTTCCTGGACTCCGAAAGGAGGGCAAGTTTTCAGCAGAAGAGACCAACTCCCAGTGGCAGATAGGTATGCTTTAATGTTCTAATCTCTCTCCTTCACCTTCTTCTTCGGCATTCTCATGATGGTTTTATTTAATAGTGATGTTTCTTGTGGAACTGGTTAGTCTTAAGAGCTTTCCAATACCATGAAAACAAGATGCAAGATAACATCAAGGAAAGAAAACTTCAGGACAAAGTTGTAAATATTGTTAAAAATGCTTTAATTACTAAAATAGAAAATCAAGATATTCTGTCTTATGTTCCAAATGCCAGCCCTCCTGCATTAGACACTTGAGATTCACAACATTGAGTGAGCACTGCTACTGGGTGAGATTTGTAGATACGGTAACCAGTATCAGGAATTAAAATCACAAATAATTAAACATAAGTTTTGTACTGAAAGCCATCACTCGTGCTTCCTCAGTCACACATACTAAGCAGTTCCTGGTAGTCAGGATAAGAGACTTAACAAAGGAGAAGATAAAAATCAGCGGTGCAAGTAGAACTCTTCCCTTAAAAGGCTGCTTAGTTTTTAGTTAAGCTAATAAATAAAATCATTGCACTAGAGTGTGAGGACATGACTGGCTTCCCTATATCCTCAATCCACTTTTAGTAATTCAGATGTAAACAGTAAGAGCTCAATTCTGCAATTTCTTCTAAAAGAAACCTTTGAGCTTAGTTTTTGTTTCTCTTGTGACTGCAGGATCAGACCCCTGGTAGAGGTGAGTTTCAGCTAATGAATTGTGCCACTGACAAATGAAGGCCCTGAGTGTTCAGATTTAATGCAACTTTGGTACAGGATAATGGATGCTCCCACCTAGGATTTGTAGTACCAGAGTTTGAGGCAAAGAAAAGAAACTTTCTCCACATAGTATGTCGTCTTCTAGATATCCTCCCTCAGGACAAAACCAAACCCTCAGGTACTTGTCAGGGCTAGGCTTTATTCACTTGGCAGATAAGCTTCTGCTTGTGCCTTAAAAATAATACCCCGCCTTGCTTTTGTGTTTCAAGTACAGCCTCACTGCTTGTGGCTCTTGGCCTCAGGATCTGCTGAGAGAGTTTATCATACCATTGGCTCAGACTGGAAGCCTTTGATTCATTACATTAGCTGCTACTTCTCAGGAGTAACATGCTTGGCTATTAATCACTGCAACCTTCTTTGTGTTCTCCAAAGAATACAAAGGTGAAGAAAATTGGTTGTTCAGAAGATGAATATGCTTTTTGTCACCTTGTTGTTGAAACCATGCATGCAGACCATGCACTAAGTTTTGCCAAATGGTAAGCAGGGGAATAAGAAAGGTTCCTCATAAAGAAAAGGCTGGATTCCATGGCTACTTTCTTCCTGCTCAAACAAATTGTTGTAGTGACAGAGGAACAGAAGTTTGCTGTGGTGCTGATGCATTTCCTAACGTGCATCTCTCTAACTGATTCTGGTAAGGAGCACAAGTAGGATGCTCATTTCATATTCCAAAGAAACAGTCTGAGTTTACAGCAAGGTGTCAAAAGTGGGACAGTTATAGGCTGCTTCCCCCCTGCTCCTTGGACTCCTGGTGCTGACCAAGCTTGTTCAATCAAAAGCATGCTTTGCATCCTAGCACCATAAAACCTGAGGCAGAGAAATGGGATAACTTAATCAGCCATCGCCAGACTTGTGCTGCTAATTAGAGGAAAATGACCAATGTTCATGGTAAGGCAAATTCCTAGGACTCCAACCTACTTGCTGAGATTAATTAGGATTTGAGTGCACTATTTCTTCCTCATGCTGGGCATTAACAATTATTTTCAAATCCATTTTCCAGAGAAGGTAGTGTGAGACCAATCTTGGGTTTTACCAAAGTGAAAAAGATGTGGTCTAATATACATATAAGTGCAAATGCCTGAAAAGAACAAAGTGTTTGTCATAAGGCAGGGGTAAATGAAAGCTCTGTTCCTAAGCCTGTGCTAAGTTCATCTTTAAGTTCCATATTCCATACTGAACAGAATGTAGTCAAGGCAATGTGAACTATCACATCAGACACTTCGTCTGATCCCATCCTTAATTTCCTTGTGGTGTAATGTGATGAGCATTTCTTTTGGCAGTGGAGTTTCAATATCTGGCACATGTACATATCTTGCTGCCGAGTTTTGTGCCTGCACAACTGTGTGTTACAAGTGTAGATGCTAAAATGAATCAGGGCCTGACATCCAGATGTGCAGCCATACAGTACAAACTTATAAAGGGCAGCACAAAGGTAGTCATGCAGTCTGTCAGCACAGATGTTGCTTAAGAAACTACTGCTGAAAGAAATGCTTGGTGTGGTACAGCCTATGTTTCAGCCAATACCTTTCCTAAAATTATACCCGAAGAGTGCTTATAGAAAGGCTGATGTCATCTTGTAATATATTAGCTAACAGTTGGGTACTTTGAACACTGAGGCTGGGAGCATCCAGGGTTATTGTTTAATTTTCTCTGAATGGCTGTTGGTGTCATGTATAATTTCTGTATTTAATGTCTTGCAAGCAAACTTCAGTACTGTATGCTTAAAGTAAATGGGGGAGGAGAAATACCATCTGTAATTTACCACCACGTCCCAAATATGCTGTGCTTTTAGCAATGGGATGCTATACAAATGTGCTGGTGAAAGCTGGCTTTGAGTCTCTTGCAGATACGCTGCAGGAGTTTAGGCCTTTTGACTTTCAGAAGGCAGCTTCTGGATTATTTGTGACAATCACAATTATATTGTGTCAACGTTCATTATGTGCAATGCCAATCCCAGGTGAGGATCTGTTTTATAGCTTTGGTCCATTTTCCACTCTGTGATTGACTCCAGTTGGATAACATACCTGGTGATTTCAGTTTGCTTTCTCAAACTTTCAGAAATGCTGAAATCCATAGGAATGTCACAGTTCAATATGTTATCCCCAGAGACTGCAATAAGTGAAAGGTAGCACCCAAAGTCCAGCTTGTCTCTATGTTGTTCACTTTTTTTTGTTAACTATAAAAGGAAAAAAAGCAATTGTTACCAACAGTGTTCCCAATATGTTGAGAGTTGCACATGACAGCAACTACACATAGCAACCCTGGAAAGACTTAGTAGCTAGTTAGCCAGAAAAATGAACCACTGCATGTTGTTTGATAGAGAAATTGGAAAGCTGGTTTTGGGATTGAACCTCTCACCTGTAAGAGTGTGTTGTCTCTAAATCCAAAACCTTCCTTTAATAAAGCAGTGATGTAAGTGAGATCCATGCAGAGGAAAGGACTGGCTGAGCTGAACCTCTCCATGTTATCACAGACTAGAGAAAGAAAAAAATAATTTAAAAAAAAATCATCAAAATAAAGGGGCTTCTGAAATTACCTTAAGCCAAAATCCACTAAAACACATCACCTACTTCTATATGACACATGGTACATACTACACAGCTGTTCTATAAAGTTAGAGAGTAAATGATACAGTAATTACAGTTTCTCTTAACTCTGTCAGAAGTGTATGTTTTGTTACAGCAACATAGTTCATATTGCTCTTTTGAAGATTGAACCTGCGCTCAATCAATAGCTGCCAGGGTAATTGCCTGGTAGACTGCTTATTTCAAGAATGTGGCAACATTTATCTTCCTTAATCTGTCCAAAAATGGCTCTAGTAACAGATTCCACCTCCTGGGCTGACAGCTGCTTTTAATTTTAAATTTTCAACCATATGTCCAAGAGACTATTGCCCAAACAACCACTCACAGTGCAGCAAAGATTCCACAACAAGGGTTACAGTGACTAGGAAATGCATTTACAAGAAGCGTCATCTTTTAGATGGAAATGTACTGTTTTGTGCTGACATTTATAAGCTGTTTCCCTTATTTCCTGAATAGAACTGCAAAGATGCTACCACTTTCCTTCTTGTTACTGTTCTTCAATACTTTATTCAGCAACAGTTAGAGGTATGGCGTAACAGAAGGTAAGTAGCAAGACATGGAAGTGTAAGTGAAATAAAGGCTGAACAGTCATTTTTTTCAAGTCAAATACATGAAGTACTGCCTTGTAAACATTCATCTTTAATGATTTATCCTCCCCAACAGTTTCCCATGTTTGATGATAGTTACCTTCTTTGGCTTTTCTTTCAAAATCTCTCACTTCCAGAACTCCTCCCTGTTCATAATCTGAAAAGAAAGAGGTGAGACAATATCTTCATAAACCTGCAAGCAGTTGAGTTCTAAATCTAAGCAGACTCTGGGGTACAACTCTGTGATGATGGGCCAGGAGTGAAGTCCTTGGTAACAACGAACAGAGCAGCAAGCATAAGTAGCATTCAGAGCACTAGTCTCTTCTGTCAAATACCAAAAATGAGGGTTACAGGAAGGCATTTTGTGTGTTTCCTTAGACATCTTGTGCCATTTCCCTGCTTCACCTGTCTCCATCTTCAGGGTTCTACCTTCTGGTTGGCATGCTCACATGTAGTAGATTACCCCAGACCAGTTTTACCTATTAGGTTGGTGTCAGCTGCTCGATCATAGTAATAGGAGAAAGCATAGAAGGAACTTCCACGAATCTCATCTGGTTGGTGCAGTTTTCCTTTGACAACCTTCAGTACTTCCAGATAGCAAGGCTTGAATCCTGTCTCTCCTGCCAGGACAAAGACAGATAAGGTGAGCCTAAGAGGCACATCCAGGAGATGGAGGAATTGGTGGCAAGAGTGAAAAGGGGAAGAAGCAGAGATTAAAGAATCAGAGGAGGTGAGAGGAGCTTAGATAGCCTCTCCATAATCCAGTGTGGTACCTGCATGGAGCAAGCACTCTAGGTCACCATCCTCAAGTGGAACTTGCTAAAGCAGTTCACAGCAGTATCTGATAGACAGGCTGAGCATACTAGGGTAGGTGCATGAAATGCTTCCTCTTTAGGCAAAGCTCCCATTGCTGTGTTCTGCGGTCAGCAGAATCTCATTTATGTTTGCTACCACCTGCAAGGTAAAACTTCACTTTCCTTCCCCTTCACATTGTAGTTTATAAGTCACACTGAATCAAGCACAGCAATCTTGTTTCCTACTGTAAAGCAAAGCAGTGTCAGTCACCAAAGGGGACTGTACTAGTCACTGCTGGTAGCAGCTTCTTGCTTTGCTTGCAGCATTAGAGACAGTATTCTTAAGAAAGAGTTCCACAAGAGGATACTCTTCAGTCTACCAGTTGTTGTACCCTAACACAGCCAGAGCACTCAGCTCCTCAGAAGGAACTCTCCTGTTTGTACGAGTAACTAACGTTTCCTATTAAGGCAGTGTATAGCAAGCACAGGCCAGCTACTCTTATGGCTTCAGATCATTCTGTGGCTCTATCAAAGCTCCATAGTTCTATGATTGGAGAAGTATCCTTCACACTGTAAGATAACTGACAGAGTATTTGTCAAGAAAAAACGCAGATGCTGGAGGCAAGATTTGTCTTACAAGAAGCAAAAAGTTGCTTTATTTTACCTTCTTTGTTGCCCCCATACCGGTACTTCACTCCCCCAAAGTGCCACTCTGCTTCCAGTTGCTTTGGCAAACAAGAGCTGCGGAACATTTGTCCATCTGCAACTGGAAATGAGAGGGTCAGGAAGGATAAATTTTAATGCAGTTATCAGTGTGCAAAGCCAGAAAAGAAAAGGCTGAAAAACCTTCATTAAGGTCTTCAGGCAAAAGTAAGGAAGTCTGAACTGTGCAACCTACTCGGGTAACCTTATGCTGTTTGCATTTATGTGAAAGCTGGTAAAGTTGTATATTGATGGCTGGTTATGCATTTCTGGAATTTACCCTCAGTCTCACTGCTAGTTGAAACTGGAAAAGCAGCTTTCTCACATGACATTCCTAAAAAAAAAAGCAGTAGGCTCAGTTTCTGGGCAGATCTATACCAGGAAAAGTGTGAAATATAGCAGTGAAGGCATATGAAATGGGTTGCTGATGCAAGACTAAGCCTACTTATCTCTTCAGAAATCTTCAGTGTTTTCTTATCTGGACATACCTTCTGTATTCAAAGCTCCAAGAGTTGCTAGTCTGGCAGCTTTTAATCCAAAACCCAAATAGCTGCAAAAACAAAAGAAAACATTTCAGTTTTTAATTCCTGCACTTTTGATATGTTTCATCCATAACTCTTCCTAAATCCTGGAACACTCAAATCAAACCTTTTCTTTGTTTCCCACTATTCTATGCAAAGGAAATAGAGAGTTCTCTTTGCCTGAACAGCTCCAAGTCCCAAAATTACAGATGCCAAGGCACATTATGCTGTAAGATGGGTAAATCTTACAGCATAATGTGCCTGTGGTTAGAGTTGGTGTGACATTTCTACAGGACATTATTTGAAATGTAAAAATGCATTAGTCTTAAAAACCAGGGATAAATAAAGTTATGTGAGGAGTGCAGGGGAATAGTATGGCCATTCCTACATTATATGCATAAGACTCTTAACAGGTGCTCTTAACAGAACTAACAAAACTGCACAATGTCCCACTATAATGAGGATGTATCTTCCTATGAAGTTGGCCTCTGTTTGACTTCACATAATACCACTATACTGCAAGCTAGGATTGTGAACAACACTTACGAGAATATCATTACGTGTTACTGGCTTTAACAACGCAGCTAGATTAAATCCCTGCTGGCCTTTCATTTCCATTTCTCTTTGACTACCTATCCTTTTAGTAATGTTAATGCAAGTTTTTATGTAATAACCAGGGTTAAATTAATCTCTGTCTTCCCCATTTTTATGAGATTATTTTAAATCCCAATTATTGCAAGCGATAGAATTTGTTGGTAAATACAGCAATCGGTTACTTTCATAAATTCAAGTAGTGTGAGAGGAGGACTGTTAAACCAGCTTTGCTGTCAAGTAAACACTTGTCAAGTAAGACAGCACTGGGTATCACTGCAGACATCTCAGATACCTGTTTGCTTAATTCAGTAAGCACAGTTACATTCCATCAAGCCAAGAATCTCCATAGCTGGCTCAAGAGTCTGTGCTCTGTGTTGTGTATTAGCTGTCTCATTGGTTTACATCAGTCTAAGTTTTACTTTTTATCCAGTTACTAAAGAGATGGGCTATTTGGAATTGAGAACTAGGAATTTAATTAATTTAATTCTGACTGCTGGCACAACATCTACTATTCTGTTTGTTCCAGGATATTTGGCTTGAACCAAGTAATAAAAATTCTTAAACAGAGTACTCATAACGCTTCCTTTCCTTTGAGGGACTATTAGTACTTTGCAGTGATAATAACCTGGAGTATTTCCAGCCTACTGTCATGTTTCAGTTCAACTAATGTTTCAAGCAGGTAAAAAAAAATATAGTAAATAAATCATAGTCCCAACAGCTGGCAATAGGACAACACAAACATTTCTGGTCTGCAGAGAGATTGATTCTCCAACTAGAGCCAGCAGCCTTTTTCCTCCTCACCTGTGGGTATAGAGCTTGTAGGTCCTGTTAAACATTTCAAATGAGGTAAGAAAATCACTAGGGCTTTCCTTCAGGGTTTCCTAAAAATTAAGTAAAAGAAGAAAACTTTTAGTTGTAATTATGCAACAAAAAATAACTGATAGATATAATATCACAGATATACCCTTTGAAAACAAAAAAAGTTTTTCAGTGGTGCCTGCTGCTGTAATGCTTGCAATATTTAACACGGAGTTTATTTATTTGCATCTTTGTGTTACTGCAGTGAATAATAGGGAAACAAAACAGATCAAGATGAAAATACTCTTTAATTCACTTAGTTTTTCAGAGTACTTGTATGCTTTCCTATATATACACACAGAGTCTCCACTGAAATCAGCTGCACTTGAAGCACTATGAACTCTTCCAAGCCAGGCTGGAGATCTTAATTCAGGCACAGAGAAGAATCTAAAAATGCCAATTAAAGTATAAACCAGATTTTTCCCAAGTTGAATTATTTCCAGATAGTCAAAGAAACACTGTGAACATTGACTCTCAGCCTTTGGGCTTCTTTATCTCCTGATTTAAATGTTTCCATCTACCCTCGGCTCTCACCTCACTATTTCATCTTCTCCCATTCAGAGTGCTCCCTCTCTGTGCACGTTTGCCCCACTGATACTCAGTCTCTATTTCCTTGCCACGCTGACTCTCATTCTTATAAATCTGAACCTGTTCTGGACTCATTTACTGTTCCTTTCTGTTTCCAGTCCCTGGGGCCTTAACCTTTCCTCTGCTTCCTCTAACCTCATCCTCCCATCCCTTCTTGGCTCCATGCCTTCATATCAGACACTGCTGCTCTGGGCCAAACAGCAGAATCTCAGGACTGAACCTTCAGAGTCACTGCTGCTGCCGTTCCAATAACCAGAGAGAGCAAAAGACAGATCTGCAATTACAGAGTGCTGGAGGGCAGCCTGCCTGACACTGAAAGAGGTTCGGAAGTATTTAGCTTAAGTCTCTCCTGAACAGATATAGACTGGTTTGTTTTTGGTGTTGGGTAGATTTGTGTAGGAGTGGCAGTGACCCTTGAGCCTGCCATATTCTGAATTCTGTTCCTAAATCTTATGTCACAAAAACTTTTAAAAAGGAGAGTCCTGAAAAAAAAAAAATTGATTGGAGAAAACAACTGTTTTCGTGTCCCTTGCATTCATGAAAATGTAGAATTCTTCACACAGTCCCAGGTGAGGCAGGCACTAGACAGACAATTTCATAATTACTGTGGTTGAATTTTAGTTGCTTATAACTTTGGCAACAGCCAAATCATGAAAAGCATAGCAGTGTTAAAACAGCTCTTTGCAGTTACCATTCTGCATCTTCTATTTGCTTGCAAATCTTTCATTAATGAATCTCCTAGTGTTACAGTGTTGTTTCTTAAGAAAATAATATGAAAGCAAATATGCAAGTGCCTCAGGTTATAGGAGGAAAAAAACCTCTGCAAATCAAGGGACAAAATTCTGTCACATGGGCAGAATTTTTCAGAAGCATCCTGAGCTATATGTGTGCTTTTTGGTGTGAAATTGATAACATAGGCTTGCAGCAGGCACGACATACAACTAGGATACATGAAGCCTTACTCCAAACCACTCTACTATTCACACTGTTGGCCCTCGTCAGTAGCAAACCTTCAAGGCCTTTTCCTGCAAAGCCATAAGGAGAAGTTTGAATCCTGAGCTGCAGTCCAGCCTCCTTTAAAGCTCTATTTAGTCTCTAAAACCCTGACACATAACACCCTTTCCTGTTGGTCTAATGCCCAGTTCAGCAGGTGTTATCAGTACAAAACAGAGCGCAAGTCCAGAGTACTAGAGGCTCTGCAGAACATGATAAGGTTGCACATCAGGTTTCAACATGACCCATCATGGCAGAACTCAAATATTCTGATATGAAAACCATGTGTTTAGTGGTCCCCAAACACCTATTTGAGAATTTCCATTCTTGTAAGCAAAATATGTTACGCTACTTCAGAAATAGCAAGAGGGACAAAAACAACTTGGCAATATGGAGGTACTGAATGCTGTAGCATCCCTCCACTTTTTAACATCCATGTAATTTTCCCACGCAATTTTCATACTTGGGTCCCAATTCAGACTTTCTAAAGAGATACAGAATTTCTGAAAAATCCAGCAGAGATGGGGAGACTCCCCCAGAGACAAGAATTCTCCAGGAAACGAGAAGGAGCACGTAAGTAAACAAAGAGGGAGTAGCTGTGCTATTAGAAGTAAAAACAGTTGCTCCATTAGACAACTATCCCACCCTGCCACATTTAGTGAGGATCTGGAATGGAAAAAAATGATAACTCAAAAGAGACCCTAATTTGCTGTAATATGTAAGAATATTCCCTAAAAATATGCTACATTTATCAAATGCAAAGTAATTGTCTACATTCATGGGGATTTTCCAGCCTAAGTCTAGAAAACAAAGGCTAATTCTCTTTGGTTTTACACATTTGCTTGCTTTCTTTTTCCTGCCTAGTTATCCAGGCTTCTTTGTTTGCAAGTGCCTATCAGCCAACTGCTGATGTCAAAGGGAAGGCTGTGCAGATGTTCACTACATCAGAGATGTTCTGGTTGTGCCAGAGCTGACAAAATGAGAGCACAGAGCCCAGCTGTGCCCATGTCTTCCCACTGGCATTGTGGTCTCGACTCGTATGCTTACAGCCACTCCTCACCTCAAACTGTGGCAGAAATGTGATCTGGGTTGAGGCTCCTCCCAAGTCCAGGGTCCCAGTAGTGTGCTGGTTATGGCCAGACAGCTGCCCTGCAAACCACATCATGTTCAGAACAGCCTGACGTGGCAAAATGCTATAATGCCGATACTGCATGTATGCTCAGCCAACTGACAAATTCCCACATCATGAGGCTGAGTGGGCCTTCAAAGAAAAAACCATCAGAGGAATGTTGTCGTAAAGAAGGTATTAAGAAAATTTCTTCTCTGACTCAAATTTCACATTCTAAGAGACAAAAGCAGATGAATGTTTGGGTATACATGAGAAGCGGAAAGAAAGAGACATAGTAGAAGATTGTCAGGGACAGTGCATAAATTCTGTAATTACCGTAGGTGCTCGTCAAGAACAGTAGGAGAATAAGGGTATTAGAAAGAGCAGAACAAACTGTTATCATTCCTCTTCACCCAGAACAACATTTTCGAAATTTTTTTCTTTGTTTGCTTACTCAGATTTCTACTAGAACACTGATTTTATTTTCTCTTTGCTAGATTGCACTCTCAGAACTTATTGGAGCACATCAGGCTAATGCATGCTATTGCATCACGTTCACTGCACAGTTCAAAGTGAGATGAAGAATAGCATAACACCCTGTTTCCCATCTTCTAAGAAGTTAGTGATACCATGGCCTGACATACGTTACAGAAACCAGCTTGCCAGTGCATCCCAGTCCTGAGTAAATCCTAGCACCTTCTGGATCAAGATGCCTTCTTCTTGCTACATGTGGGACTCAGCCTCTGAGACAGAATCTGCCCAAGTCAATCCACTGCTTTAGCATTGTTGCCACAGTGGGGAGGAATAGGAAGGTACAGCAACCAAGGCAGAGGAACACACAGAGAGATCATCTCTGCAGAAGAAACTCAAGTTCAAATGTAAAGAGAAGTTACACAGCATTAGCTACCTGTCAAAAAGTTCACAGTGATCCAGGCTAAAATTCCTGCAGAGAGAAAAAGGAAAAAAAAGTCACCACTGAATACTCTCATGACCTCCTGCCCACTTTTACCACCACTCCACATTACTAATTTAGTAATGATTTCCATGTAATGTAATATAATCTCTCTAATATTTTAGACATTAATTCAAACTTACAAGTCAGTTGAATATTACACATTATTGATGTATTAAAAGCTCATTAGATAGGATATGAACAACACTTGTAGCAGGTATGCAACTGTAGCATACAAAAATCACACAGTAGCAACCACTAAAATGCAAACAGCTGCTCTTGGACTCCAGCAGCTGGCTTGAGGATGGCATGATTATCACCCAAACACAGGGAAACGTGACAGTAGGAGAGGTGGGTTTTAAAACAGAACTTGGCAGGCTACACTGTGTTCTGTTATGCCTCACCGGTCCTGCTCCCTGTTAGTACCACACTTCTCCTTGATATACGCTTCTTCTGTTAATCCTAGTGGCACACTGCGTGTTCCACTGTGCTTCATCAAACACTTGCAAACTTTGTGTTCTTTCTCTTTTTCTCTTGGCCCCCATGGACAGATTTTGCTCTTTAATCTTACTCCATGAATTGGTTGCTTAAGCTTCGTGATAATTCTTTCTGCCTTCCCTGAACAACTTCCAAAAATTCACCACAATGAAATGTTCAGAATTGAACGTGACATCATGGGTGGCTTCTATCAGACATCCACACAGAATTACCTGCCTGATCTCCAAGGATATGTAGCCAAAATGCATCATTGGTTTGTTCTGCACTGCAAAATCATTTATAAATAGTCATTAACTCCAAGCCTACATATTTTCTTGTATTTTAGGTTACTTCCTTTGCTACTTAACTACCTGCACTATTCCAATCTGATTTATTTATTTATTTTTACATTACTTATTTATGTTACAAACAAGGCTAGAAATCTTTTTCTTCCTTCCCTCAGTTTAGGTGAGCATTTCCCCTTCAAATTCAGTCATTCCTGCTTCCCCTCCCATTCCTCTTTGCCTTCAGTTTTTCTTCCTTCTAAAACACACCTTCATAAGACCCGTCCATGATGCTAACACTATCTTCTGGAACAAGAAATGGTGACTCCTCAAAGACTTCTTTCACCTGAAGAAAGAGAAAATGATTCAGTTCCTTGGTCTGAACAGTCTTGCTCTGCTCTTGACAATGACAGAGAAAAGCTTTCCCTTTCACTGCAGTAGAAAAAAAGTCAAGAGAGTGTGACAAACAAAATTCTTCCTCTTCTAAGGGCCAGTAAAGAAAGCAACGTATCCAAAGTCTCTCTCCCAGAGTCTTCTATCCACACCAGGACAGAGAATTTCAGGACCATGCAAGAAAATTTGTGAAGTCTGTGAGTTTCATGCTATGGTGGGATTACAGTTACTTTTCACAGCCGAAATTCGCAGATGGCAACAGACTGGAGAACTGAGCCAGAAAAGATGAAACAGAGCAATAGTATTGTACCCAAAAGATGTTAGTATTACCTCAGAGAGCAGAGCTTGAGCTTTCTCCTCTGACAGTAAGCGCAGTCCAGCTGTGGCTTTTAACACTACTGGAGTCTTCTTCCAGAGATGAGGTGGCACAGCATCTACGGCCATGTCCAGCAATTTTTTGACGGATTCAGCACCCTTAAAGGAAGAAATTGTATTTCTTACAGTTTTCCTTCAGAAAATGTGCCTCCTAACTCCTCAAAACTAGTGAAACTGGTATTCAACAGCAGAAAACATCCACGCCTAAAAGAAGCATAAAAACTGTGCTAGGCATCTCATGCAAACCTTAAAGGAAGGTCAGATACATTCAGAGTTATATCCTAGGAGACAGACTTAAATTTCATTGTTTGTGGAAAGTATTTTTGGAAAAGATGGAGGGAAGCAAGGGAAGTGAGTGTCTGACAAACCTAGGCATCTTGTAGTATGATAAAACTAAGTGGTGCAATTACTTACTGATACTGCAAAGGTCAGGGGGGATGTCTGTGGATTTCAGTAAATGCACATAAGAATTCCAAGTAAGTTCATATAAAGTAGCCTAATGACAATGACAGCTGTAGAGTGCTTATCATATGAGGCACAGACATCACTGCTGGGCTCTCAACTATTTATACTGCTCTAACAATTATAGTTTGGCATTAGCAATGAGCATTCTCCTGTGAAATTTCTAGAAATGTCTCTTGGTGGTGATTTTTCTCTTCTACCCAAAAAACAAGAAAATAGTGAAATCACAAGACAGCTTATCAAAGTTTTAAAAAAGAGCCATCTACTCTTCCCCAGAGTTTCATACTAAAATTCTTACAGCACTGAATGTAGCTGAGCACACTGCACACTGAAATCTGAAGCTCCCCCTAATTAGCCCTAACTCCAGGACTGCTAAAGCAGGCAAGGCACAGGATCTAATATATCATTTGCCTGGCATCTCCTTTAGCTTGTGAATGAGCTTGCTGTCAGCAGAAGGGATCTGGAAAATGGCAGCTCAGTTCAGGACTGGCTCTTTGTATCAGCTCGATTCCTTTAGCTGTCTTCTCCCTGCTGCTCATTTCTGACTCCTGAAAGAAGTGCACTGCACATGAATTCAGAACCGTATGCATTTGAAAATAAAGAAGGCTGCACCTAACTTCAGTTTCTTATTACAATTCTAAATTGTATATTTATTAATAAAGTACTAATTAACATACCTGGTTGCAGATTATGGATCTGCCCAGCTTTATTTTTTAAAAACTCCATACACAAATAAAAACAAAAGTCCAGAATCAGTAGAACAGGAATTGCCCATACCAAAATCATTACTCAGCTACAACTGTGATGAAATATTCTCAAAGACATATGATCTAATTAGATATAGCAGTTAAGCAATTAATTAAGCCGTTGTTCCACTGATGAAATACATGAAGTAATAGTTTCCATTTTACTGTGTGGAAATTAACTCACAAAAGTGGAGCAATAGGTTTGGACAACCAGTAATAGAACCTTTACATTTTTCTTGACTCTCTGCATTACAATTTTGAATGTTTGAACTGCTTGGTAGAATGCAACTGATATTAGTAGAAGGAAGATCAACTCATGGGGAATGAAAGAGAGCCTTACCTTTTCAGGCTGATCAGCATAGGCAGAAAGACCTGGCTTCACAGACTCAAATATTTCCCCTTCCAACTCTGGAAGGATTTCTGCACAAATGAAACATTACATGAAACAATCAACAATTCAAATATATATTCTTTTTTAGCTTCCAAAAGGTTGTCTGAAGCACTGTTAAAGAAACACTCCTTGACTTCCCCTTGCAAATAATAAATCCCCAAAAATACACTGCTCCTTCATTTCAGAAACATACTTAACAGAACATTGCCCTTGTGTCCTCCAAGCTCATCAACAATTTATTACAAACATACTTAAAAGGATGTTTGTTCATTATGCATTTGTAAGTCACAAGTTGTAGCAATGTAGCATGACTGTTGCCTAATCTTAACGAAATTTCTTTCCTTTCTTGTCCCCAAGCTAAGTGTGAAATATTAATTCATATTAAGGCACATACAGCCAGCTCCTGATTATTCATAGGTGATTCATCCTATTCATAAAGACAGAGAATGCTGAACAGAGCTGACTGTCCCCAGGCACTAGGCTGCAAAGCCAAACAAATGTGACTATTGCTCCCAGAGCAGCGTGGCTCTACCATGTATATCTCAGTATTGCACATCATCTATCTGAGTTGGACGTTGCACCAGCCCTTCCCAAAGAATGTTGAAATCATGTGAAGCCCACATGAGGTACTACGGTACTGTAGTACACAGGTACTACATGTGGCCCTGAAGGGCTTATTAGCCTTTAACCTTTGCAGATTTGCTGGTTCACAGTATACAAGCTAATTCGCCCTCTCGAATTCTGTTTAATGTGCAGCCAAGCTGGGCACCTCCACACCACGTCAGATGTAGATATTCTGTGGTGTGCTGCATCTGCTTACAGTTCTGGAAACTGCCTAGGTGGTTATAATTCTTTAATGTATTGATTTCATTTTGATATAAAATGTTACATATACAGAATGTAAATATTTGTTGATATAATTCCAGGTAACAGGCAACTTGGAAATCTTCCCAATTCAATGGGACATTCCTTTAAACAACTGCACAGGTGAAAATCTTCAGAAATTCAATATACCCAGAAAGAAACCTCTGGGTTTCTCAAGATGCGCAAGAAAGAACTTTTCACAGTGAAACACCACCATAAATGGCAATCAATCACCCCCCGGAGGATGACCTGAACGATAAACAGGAGAAATCTTCAGTTGATCCCAAATTCCGTATTGATGCAAACAAAATCCTCTCATGTGAAAACAGAACCTGAGTCAACATATGGCAGGTGCACAGACTGACACAGGGTCTTACCTGGGCTCTTCTGCACAAAGGTATAAATGTGGATCCGGGTTCCAGTGCTTCCTGCGTCAAACATTATGCCATAAAAAGTGTTGGTCTTGGCATTTATAGGGCACGTGTTAGGTGGAAAGAGATCCTGAAACCACATCTCCCTGTTTGAATGGGAAAGAACAGGGGACAAAGAAGAAAAGACCAGTGCTAGAAGGATGGGGAATCTGGAAGATGTCATCATGCCAGGATCACTTGAGGCGGTCAAGCGTGGGTCAACAGTCATAGAGCTGGTGTAGATCCTGTAGGGAAAAACAAATAGGAAGGAAAGTTACTAAGAGTCCTCTCCTAACCAAGTCTGTAGAAAAAGTTCTGCCTCTACACAAATATTCTGCCCTTTAGATAGAAAATAGCTTTTCAGCACCTCATCCACAAGTTATTATTTACTGCATTTTGGTGCTAGAACTGCATTTTGATGCTAGAACTGCATCTGAGTGTTTTGTTCTTTCACAGTAAAGATTTCTCTATTTCCCAAATGCAGAAGAGTTGAAGTACGATGTTTTCCCCAGTATTTCTAGCTTTTACTTTATTTGGGCATTTTTTTTCTCCGCTTTAGCTTTAAAAGTCTCAAGTTTTACAGCTCCCAGAAACTCCAGGAAGTCCAAATACTGTCTGAATAGAAGCACCATCAAAGGGGAGCTCAAGGCAGAGCCACTTTGCCCTGATATTTATATGCATGAGATGCTGTGGCAAAACACAAGTATTATTCAAAGAGAGAGAATTTTATCTCAGGCTCTGAGCAGCTTCTGGGAAAGATCAGTGCACAGAGTGAAGGCAGCATCCTGGCTCCCAAGGGCTCCTGTGCTGCACAAGAGGGACCAAGCTGTGATGCGCACCTGGGCTCTGCCTCTCAGTACCTTTCTTCTCTATTTTTCACACTTCTCCTTTCATTTAGTTTCTTCACCCTTTTCTCCTGAGAGTTTTCATTCTCAGAATGAGAAAACAAAACCAAAAAGCACAGTTTTCCAGTGGCCCAGTCATCCCAAACACTCAGATTGCTTACGAGAAGCTCCTAACATCAGTTTCTAGTAAGCCAAGGCCCTTGGGTGAAATCAATAGTCTCAGTACTGGATATCAGTACTATATCTTGCAAAAGTTCTTTACTAAGAAATGCTAATTAAGAAAAGATGGCTTCATAATGGTGTCTGGTTGAAGAGAAGGAAAATATGTAGCTATCTTTGTTGTTCACTTTTGAACAGCAGAAATGAGCACATGGCCAGATATCCCACCTTGTGCAAAATCACCTGTGTTGACATGCTCACACACAGAAGCTGCACGCATCCCCCCAGACAAGTGCTTACACACCCATTTGCTCATAGCAATGAATGTTCTGCCCCATAAGCCTGCTCATCTGCTCTGTTCAAGCCCTCATCTGCTTCTAGTGCTAGCATTCAATTGTGTTTTAGAGATCCATTCAACCTCACTTGCTCAGCCTCTCTAAATCTTTATTTGCAACCTCTATCCTATTCTTACCCATTACAATCCCTAACCTCTCTCCTTTCCTTTCTACGCGAATTTGACATAGCTTCTATTTCCCTATACCTTTCACCTATGCCCAGAGAACTCACTCATCCTTCCCTCCCACATTCAACCCTTATACACCTTCCATTATTTCAACCTTTGTTTGTAGTTAGAGCAGAAGGAGATTAACTTTTACCCATTCTCACAAACCACATCATGCTGAGTCATTCTCTGAGCGCCTTTCCAACTCATTCAAGCACTCAGCTATCTCCAGAGCAAACACAGAGCTCAGCCTGTTACACAAGGGGAGCCTTGCTTATCTTCTGTGACCTTTATTTGATTGCACAGGATCCCCTCTGCTTTACAAACACGTTCTGAGAAGAGATTTTATGATTGCACAGTGAACAGCCCGGCCATCCCTCTCTGACAGACCAGAAGGTGAAGCTGTTCAGGAGAGGTGTTGATGTATAATGCAAGTATGTTGTTTACTAAACAACCACAGCTAAAACTGAGCAACAAACCCCAGAATCTTGTTACAGACAGCACACGTGACACTTACATAAGCCGCGTGATCTCGGTTGATCCCAAAATATCTGACCAACAGCCACCATTAACACATGCTCTTCTTGCCAGGTCTCCTGACTAAAGTGCTCTTGTACGAAATGCCTCTTCTGCAGCCCTTCTCAGCCATCCAGCACCATCTCACTCTTCCCATTCCCTACCTCTCCCCTGGCTTCTCCCTTTCTTTCCACCTTCGTCCATCTAAGGTCCCCACTCTCCCCCCACAAAAAATCCCATGACAGTACCTCAGGACCTCCTCCTTCACCTTAAAAGAGAAAAGCACACAGAGTCTCTCCGATGAGCAGTTCTGACTTTCTAAGCAGATGCACGCCGGCACCCACAAGAAGCAGAGATGGGCAAGGAGAGCACGAGGGCAGCGCCAGCAGAGGGAGATGGCATAGAATAACTGAAATGCCAGTGAAAGACGAATTTGAGCAGGGGGTCAGAAGAAAGGATGGAGGGAACATCTTAGGGTAGAGGCAGGTGGGAGGGAGGGGATCGGCCACTGAGAAAGAAAAACTATTTCCAAAAGAGTTTCCCTCCACCAAGGTAAAATCCTCGATGCCGTCAGAACGCAGCGGGACGGATGACACGACGAACAAACAGCCGGGAGAAAGCAAGCGGGGGCACAGGAGTACGAGCGCGGGTTCACGAACGCAAGCGGCCGGCCGGCACCGGCGCGCGGTACCGAGCTGCGCAGCGCACCCGGCACGCACCTGCAGCGAGGCGCCGCTCCCCTCCCGGCTCCCGCCGCACCGCCGTCCTTCAACGCGCCGTTCCGCTGCGGGCCGCGGACGCTGCGACTGGCGGGTCAGCGGTGCGCGGGCTCGAGTTTATCATTACTCGATAGGAGCGGCGGAACACGCTCGGATAGGCGAAGGGAAACGATGCGAGAAGTTGAAAGTTAACCGAGTTGGACGTTAGTCAAACATTGACCCGCTGTAGCGGCGTGGCACGGGGCACGGCGGGCTCGCGGCACGCACGCCTCGACGCCGACCCCGCAGCCCGCCGGGCCGCTTCCCGCCCCCGGGGCGCTGCCGAGACGCCTCGCCGCCGGCAGCTCTCGCACCTACCGCTCCCTCAGGAGCGCTGGCTCCCGCGGGTAACGGCGCGGACGCGAAGGAGGCGCCACGCGAGCGCCCGTCCCGCGCGGCCCGGCCCCGTCAGCGGGCAGCGCGGGGCCGGATGCGGTTCCCATGGCGACGCGGAGCCGTCCCCCCGCCCGCCGCCCCGCGCTCACCGGCAGCTCGGAGCGCCGCCGGCGCCACATCCCGCCGGTACCGCGCGTCACGCAGCGCGCCGCCCGGCGCGGTGGTTGCACGTCGCCGCCCGGTTTCCACGGCAGCGGGCGGTAACGGAAGCCGCGGAATGGAGGGCGGGCGGGCCCCGCCGTGGGAGGCGCGGCTGGCGGAAGCCGAAGCGGGCCGGACCGAGTACCGCGAGGCCGCCCGGCTGCTGGCCCGGCGCAACGCGGAGCTGCTGCAGCGGCAGCGGCACTCGGAGAGGGAGGCGGCGGCCGTGCTGGCGCTCCTCGCGGAGCAGGGCCGGGAGAGGGCGGCGGAGGTGCGAGCCGGGCTGCCGGGGAGGGCGCCTTAGTGCAGCTCCGACCGCTCCGAGTCCGAGTACCGAGGGAAGCGGCATCTCCGAAACGAGCTGGAACTACGTAGCTCGCTCCGAAAGTAATGCCTCCTGCATATTTCCATGGAAACTGTAACAGCTGCAAAGAGCACAGTAACGCTATTTGATACGGCAAATTCTCAGCTATAAAACACCATTTTTCAGCGTAGCCGCTGCCATTACCTATGCATTTTCGCCAGCCAAGAACAAGGGCCTGCGTGCCATGCTCCTAAACATCTGTACCAGCGGAGGTGATGTGCTGTTGCCACTGCTGAAAGGCACCATCCGCACCTTGCCGTGCTTGCATCCACCGGTTGGTCTCCGTTCAGCAAAGGTTGATGAATGCCAATGCCAGTGGGTGCCATTTTTTCCACATGATGGAATTCACACTTTTGCTCCATCCCGCTCTTCCATGTCGGAGATCGGTCTGTCGGACTGCCCCTCTGCTGCCATCTGTTGCATGGCAACAACGTGGAGCAGAGTATTGCTGGGAAGGTTTAACCTCTATTGCCATAGCTCTAACATCCACTTCTGACCTTGTGGGACAACAACATAAAATAGGAGGCATTACTTTTGGAGTAGAACTCATAAATGATTTAAAAATTCTGTTTAAGGCACAAATCATCAATCCCCAGAACACTGATGGGGTTAAACGACAGGAGACAATGCTCTTGATTACACCCAATCCTTTTTCTTGTAGCTATCGTGAGTAGTAGCCCTTACTCATCCCTTTTCCAGCTGCTTTACCCCCTTTTCTGAACTGCTTCTCTGTGCTGCACCACTGCCCAAAACAGTAAGGAAGAAAACCCTCCATCCATGTAGTTTTAATTCACAGAACTCTATCTAGTACAGGTGGGTTTTTATTGTTCAGGCTTGCACTGTTTCCCTTGCTTAGCACAAACCAAGGGTGGTTCTTTCACTCTCCAGTTTTAAGTACACTTCAATCAGCCTGAACACTGCAAATGAGGACCTTTCTCTTTTGGTGTCTTCTCATAATTGATTTTAAAGAGAAAAACACAGCTCAGACACTACTCCTTTCTAGCCTCCCCCCTCAGTTAACATTTCTTGATTTTTATTTTCACAGACTGAGAAACTGAAGAAGGAGCTAATTGATTTGAAACAGCGAACACAAGAAGAGAACAGGAAACTGGTGAATGAACATTTTTTGTCCTCAGAACAATGGCATCCACTGAGCAGGCTGAACAGTAGTTCTGATTTTAGTGTGAGGAATAAGATAGGGCAGCAAACTCTGCAAGAATCTTGAGTGGAAAAGAACTTGAAAAAAAGAATGGTGATGTGGGAATTACCTTGCGACTCTCTTTGTTATTTTGGATAATAGGAATAGCCTATTATTTAGATAATAGGATCAGCCTTGCAGAGAAGGACCTGGGGTCCTGGTGGATGAAAAACTTAACGTGAGCCAGCAGTGTGCTTTTGCAGCTCAGAAAGCAAATTTTATCCTGAGCTCCATCAAAAGAGGGGTGACCAGCAGGGACAGGGAGGTGATTGTCCCCCTCTACTCTGCTCTTGTGGGCCCCATATGGGAGTACTGTGTCCAGGTCTGCAGCCCCCAGTACAAGAAAGACAGAGAGCTGTTGGGGAGGGTTCAGAGCCACGAAGATGATCAGGGAACTGGAGCACCTCCCCTATGAAGACAGGCTGAGGGAGCTGGGCTTGTTCAGCCCGGAGAAGAGAAGGCTGCGGGGTGACCTCATTGCAGCCTTTCAGTACCTAAAGGGAGCCTACAAACAGGAGGGGAATTAACTCTTTGAAAGGATAATGGCAGGACAAGGAGAAATGGTTTTAAGTTGAGGGAGGCAAGATTTAGGTTGGATGTCAGGGGAAAGTTCTTTACGGAGAGAGTGGTGAGGTGCTGGAACAGCTGCCCAAAGAGGTTGCGGATGCCCCATCCCTAGAGGTGTTCAAGGCCAGGTTGGATGGGGCCCTGGGCAGCCTGGTCTAGCAATAAATGGGGAGGTTGGTGGCCCTGCATGTGGCAGGGAGGTTGGAGATTCATGATCCTTGGGGTCCCTTCCAACCCTGGCCATTCTGTGATTCTGTGAATACTTTATAATATCTGAGATAGTGTGAAGAACCAGCTGAGTAATGGTGAAGCCAGAGACCAGCAAAAAGATGTTTCATTTTTATCGAGTTAACAAATAATTAATTTGAATTCTTCTATATTTCTCCTTCATTCATTTCTATCAAAGCAAACATTCATAAAAAGAACTAAGAACATTATTGTTCACTAACAACCTGGCTTCAATAAAGAAACACAGAACTGTGCTCATCTCGACTTTAAGACAGCATCTGCTGTGAAGAAGGCTCCATAACATTTCTCCCATCCTCAGATTATAAAGAATAAGAAGGATATGACTGATGCTCCAAATACTGCTTTACACTTACTAGTCATTTCTAGGGTTTTTATTTCATTAGACGGTTGGTAGCTTCTGCTGAGTTTGCAGCACTTCTGCTCATGATGAATTTCTTGCATTCCTTGTTTTTCAAAATGTTGCAGTTCATTGTGATTTCAGATATTCAGTAGTGTGTGCTATGTGTTTCATGTTACAAGATTTGGTGGCTGGCTTCTCTCATTTTGTTTCCTTCTTACTGGTTATTTCTGAATTGCAGGAAGACTATTATACCCAACAAATAAAAGAACTGGAAGAGAAATTTCAGAAAAAAGTTGGAGAAATCAGCCAAATTCAAGTAGAATTGAATTTAATAAAGGAATTCCACAGGGAGAAAGCAGCTATGGAGGAAGAGCTGGAAGATGTAAGTTTGTCGTAAAGATGGGTTTGTAACACATACTAAAAAAGCAACCTTTCTTGCTTTATTGTAACGGAGCTTGGGAGTGGAGAACAGACACAACTGATCTACTAGGCTGTTTTCTTTCAGCAGTTTACAGAGTCTGAGGAAAAGCAGTAAGTCTGTAAAAAGTAAATTCCATAGCCAGAAGTTGCATCTGCAATGGGCCAGTGCTGTAGGGTGTTGTATTTGTTTGTTTGCTTGTTTTTAATTTTAATTTTATTTTTAACAAAATCAATGTGGAATCATACAAGCACATATATGGATGCAGCAGAGGATTTAGTACATGTTTTGAATCTATGCTACACATATTAAGTAGTGGCATTAACTGTAACACATTTCAGCTGAGATAGCAAGCATCTCCGCTGACTGAGGAGATCCAACGGGCACCTCAAACAACTTGAGTTGTCTTCCTGTTCTTCAGCTCACCTCATTTTTTTTCCAGCTACAATGCAGGTCTTGGAAACAAAACAACATGTTTTCTATGGAGAAAAATGATCGCTCAGTGGCATTTGGTTTGTTAATATGTAGCTGCTTTTAAACAAAGACATTCAATAAAGTTATTAATGCATTTTTCTAAGAATGCTCGAGGCATTGGATTTTAAATAGTCTTGATGGCTGAATGAATAGGCAAACTAGATTCCTAAGACTAAGCATGAAACAGAATGATAGATCATGTGTGTGAGTGACTGACTGATATGAAAATACAGGCAAAAGTGAACTATGAGGAATAAGCAGAACAGAACCGAAAGTCAGATTTAAATGAATTTTAGAGACTGTGGGAAGATCTGATGAGGACGGTGGTGTAGCGCCAGGAAAGAGTACCAAGTACCTCCTTCAGTTGTTGCATCTGCATTTTTTAATTATGAGGCTGAAATTAAAACACTGGTATTACAGAGGTTTATTTTTTTTTATCACAGCTAAAGAAGAATATCAAGATCTCAAACAGGAGACATCAGGAAGAGGTTGTGCGACTGGAGAGGAGGTTTCTTGAAGAGAAGGTAAAAGCTGACAGGCAATGAAATGAACTTTTATTAGAATGATTTCTCCCACTGCTTATTCTGGCTTCTTTATTTCTGACAGCTCCTTTCTCAGCAGTTTACAGTTCCCCATGTCAATGTAAGTATGATGACTGAGATGAAGGGTAGGTGCAGCTTTCAAAGGAAAGGCATAGGATGTCATGGTCCCAGAGAGGCATTATTCTCCACTGCTATCAGGAACTTAAGTGCCCATGGAAGTTCATTCTTTTTTTATTGGTAAGAAGCTGTGCTACTGAAACTTGTGTAGGATTTTAGAATTTACACTGTAACGGGTTTTAAGCTTCAGTTCCAAGGGCCTCAAGCAAAGTTTGAAGCGGCTTTTCTCTCTTTCAGAAAAGACTAGAAGAAGATGCTGAGAAGAAGATAATGATGACAAGAGAGGCTGCTCGACACGAAGCTGTTTTGTAAGAAACTCTTGCATTTTCTGCTTTCTACTTTACTAAACCATTTTAGTGCTTTGTTTTGAAGAGCTATTTTTTCCATGTTACTGCATGGACCTTGAAGGGCAAAATCGGTGATGACTGAGGCTGTTTTTCTAATTTTAAATGTCAAGATGATGGCAACACTCGCATTTAAGCTATAAGGCTTAATTTGGAAATTAGGATGATGAAGTAATGATTTTAATATTAAAAAAAAGTATGAAAGTTTATGATTAACGTTCATGGATTTTGTTTCACTCTGTCCAGGCAGCTGAACAGCGTTGAGAGACAAGTTTTTAAAGAGAACATTCATCTTCATGGTGCTTCATCTTCTCACCTGAAGGAGGCAACGGAGTTGCAGAAAATGAAACAGAAGTTAGAGGAGGATAAAATTCTTCTGTCACAGGAAAAGGTTTCTGTTCTGGTTTTAGTTCTGTTTCATTCCCCTCCAGAAAGGGGTCCTTGAAGTCCTGGAAACAGATGCAAGTGTACTGAGAATAACTTCTTCACAGCCAGACCTGTTTGCAGCTATGAACTCAGAGTTAGCTGAAGAAAGAAGAGCACTGATTCCATCTTAATGATGGAGGAGACTGAAGGGAGGTTCTCCCATAATGGTCCAAGAATAGGTCTTTCTGTAGTGCACACTACTCATCAAACCTTCATTTGGCTTCTGTTGCAAACAAGAACCTGACCCCAAAGAAATATTCACTCTCCAGTATGAAGGTGCCAGCATCTTGACTACTACACTGTCACTGCTGGGGGAAAAGAAAAAACTCCAAGTTTGGTGCAAAACAAAAGCCCAAGTAATTTCTTCTTCTAATCTTTCAGGAAATCACTGAGAGTTTGATGAGAAAAAAGATCCTACAGATCAACAAGCAGAAAGCACAGATAGGAGATCTGCAACATAAAGTGGAAAAACTGGAGATGGCCTTATGTCACAAGACTAAGGAATTTGAGACAAAGACTCAAAAAACACAGCATCAGGCACTGATAGAAAACCAGGCTAGCATGGTCGAGATCAAGAAACTGCAGCACCTGCTAGAAATGAAGGATCAGGAGATGAACCGAGTGAAGAAACTAGCTCGGAATATCTTAAATGAGAGGACTGAAGTGGAAAGGTTCTTCCTGGATGCTCTGGAACATGTGAAGAGGGAGATCATAGCCAGTAGAAAACACTATAAGGAAATGGCCCAGGCTGTTTATTACAGGAAAATGATGGAGGCGTGTGCAGGGAAGGAAGAGTTTCCCGAAATCAAAACATTTAATAGCAACGTGAACAGCACAAATAGTGTGTACAGAGACCTAGAAGAAGCAGAGAAATGCTACTGGTATTTTAACATCAAAAACTAGTGCCTATCTTCCTACTGTACCTTAAAAAATTACAACAAAACCCCAAAATCTTTGTGATTATATTGTCTAGATTTGGAATACTTGTGGATGCTGCTGTAATGAGAATAATTATGAGGTGTAACATCCTATCAATTAGCAATGGCTTTCTGGGTGCCTAACTACACTTTCTGTCATTTTTCAATGGATTAGATTGAATACAGGCTCAAAAGTGACATTTCCATATTCCACAAGGTGCTACGGAAGTTAATACTGAATTTTCAGTATAGATGTACTTCTGCAGTTTCTTTTTAATAATTACTGTTGCATCTCTGGTCTTTGCAGGTCATACAGGCATCATTCTCACAACGCTCTTTTCTCTCACTACAGTTACCTATCAACACTGAAGCCTAAAAATTACGTTGTTACAATCTTAATAGCTCCTTAGTACCCTGCTGGCAGTTTTAACTGAAGCAACCAGTAGATGGCATGTACTCCCTGTTCAACTGTTGGTTCATTTGTCAGAGGTTCTCGGCTTTGCATTGTAGTTTCAGAGCTTGTTTTCTTCAAGCTTCACAATAATCTATAAAGCAAGCTACTGCATGAAATATACAATAAGATCAGTATGAAGATCATATGCACTGTAGTACTGATTGACAGGATTATGTTTGAAAATAAATAAACCAAAATCTGATTTAGATTAGCATCTAAGAATTTGTATTAGGATGCAGCTTAGTTTAAATTGAGGCGACACATGCCACAGTAGCCAGTTTTATAGATCTCTAACCTCCTGCTACAAACTACAGCAATATCTATGTGCTTTAAGCCATAGAATTAGGGACCAGTACAGCTGTTGTTTGCATCCAGCTTTGGTGAGAGATCATGATTATACTACTCCCAAATAAAATGTTTGCTTAGTATGCACCAACTGTTGAATGAGTAACTCACTGATGTGCAATCAATTAGAATGCAGCGTTCAGCTTATCACAGCAATGATACAGAATTAAAAAATCAGAGGGGAAAGTAGTTCACAGAGATCTAAGGAAGTTTTCCTTGGAAAGAAGAGAAGGGGAAGACTGAAATTGAGGATAAAAGTTGCTTACATGTTAACTCTCCTGTGTGCAAACAATGAAAGAGTAAAGAAAGGACAATATACTTGAAATTAATACATATCAGTACTAGCCTCCTCCCTCCTGGTCTTTATAATCAATAACTGTATAACAGAAATAGTGGTGTGCTTGTTTTATTATTATTATTATTCTACTTATTTAGACAGCCACAGATTTAGAAATTAGAAAGACAGTAGACAAATATATCTTTTGAACTTACATACTATGAATAGCTTACCAATTGCAATGTAAAACACTTTCTACACATACAGAATCATGTGATACATCTATATCTACATATCATATATCTATATATCATATATCATATATCTACACATACAGAGTGAGAGAAATGCCTTTGTCATTTTCTCCTAATCCATTGATCTTTTCTGTGTTTTTCAGGGAAAATACCCAGTTTAAAAAAGTAGATATCAGTGAGTTGACATGGGAACAAAAAGAGCGTGTCCTGAGATTACTTTTTGCCAAAATGAATGACACAAATCTATGGTAATATTCTGTTTCTTCAGTAGGTGAATACAGAGCTTTCTCTGTTACAGAAGCTTGGCTGATAAACTCTAGAGCAGAGGAGATTCTGCATCTACCAGAAGAATCTAGCTAACTGTGTGACTTGGTGTAAGATGTTTTAACCTCATGAAAGAGGTGTTATATACCAATTTTGGATGTGCACTTCCTCTAAAAAAACCAAAAAATTAAACACAGTTCTGATATATCTACTGAAGGAATTGACCAGGCCATTGGTCCATTTCCTTCCTGATTCCCAAATAACTATTATTGTGATCAGTCATGGATAGTCTTCACAGTGGTAAAGAGGATTATCTGGACCTCTGCTAACATCAAACATGAAATAGTCAACCCTATATTTGTAAAGCCAGAGATAACTAAAGGGCAGAAACAGTGCACAGTAGCACTGACCACAGCCTGTACAATGCCTGCTTTGTACTCTCCTCATTCACTTTCAATTGTAATTATTTTGCCACAAAATACAGAATTCAATAGTGAACGTATGTTTGATTCATATAGCTGATTTCAGATAGTGCACTGCAATAACCCAATAGTGTCCTGACATTTCTGGCTTGCTTCTTTTTTTAGAAAACAAGGAGTTTGCTATGGGATTAGAAATCTAGTTAAGTTTACATCACCCTCAGATGACAGTAACTTTGCTGTTGTTTCCTCCTCACAGGAAATACAGGAGAGATCTGGCTACTTCAACTCCAGCTCCTGCTGATGCTAACAAAGAAAGTATAGCTGGGTAAGACACTAAATTTTACTACACTGTTTAACATCTCCACAGTTCTGATAATGTAATTCTCTTTGTCATCCCTCCTCCTTTCAAAATAATGTAGTTTATCTGAAGATCTGTATTGGTGTAGACAGATGTATACAAAGAAATGTATGTGTGACAAGTGAGGAATTTGTTACTTACTTTTATATTTCTAGTTGTAGTGATCTTTTAGTAGGGGCTCAACTCAGCTTTTCATGACAAACACAAAAAAATAAAAATCTTGTGCTATCTTAAAGCTTCTTCTTATAAAAAAAGCAGCTTTAGTATTTTTAGAGGAAAAAAAAGTGAAAGGCTACAGTTGTACAGAGAGCCATATTTTCATCTAGAACAGAGAGTTTTGATTAAATGACAAAATACATTAAGCTGATTTTGTATTCAGTATAGGATCACTTAGAGGTGATAGGTGTGTGTGGAGTGATGTACAGGAACTGCTGAGTCACGGCCTGAACCACTGATTGAGCACCTGGGGAAAGGAGCCGGTCAGCCCTGGGGCACAGGTGAAGGCAATTCAGCTGTGTGACCAGAAGGGGTGGAGCCTGGCTGCACCTCTCTGAGACCTCATTTCAGGGCTGACTGCTGCCGGGGAAGGATCTCTTTTTGGAGATTCCTCCTTGGTGGTGCTTTCCCCGGTGAATCTGGAGTCTTCTGATACATGTAAGCAATCTTCTTCCTTTCCTTTATAGCACCTTTCTATTGTGTAGATCCTTCTGTCATTACATCTCTGGTGAAATGTGTTTTTCTATCACATTTATCTGTCTAATTGCTGTAAGCATTCATATGCCTGGTTTTCAGAGACAGACTCAGATGCGATATGCAGCTGTTTATAATACTCTAAGGCAAGCGAAATCAATTTACCCTGAAGAAATGAATGGAGTTCTACCATGTTATCATGGAGCACTATGTCAGATATGAGGCAGTCAAACACTCACAACTGAAAACCTAACACTCAGGAACCAGATGAGCAGATAACATTCATAAAGAATCCATGGAGGGATTTTTATGGGAAGATGAGAGAGCTCCTTCTAAGAGGCTGACTGCCACTTCCAGAAACAGGTGTGGAAGTGACTGGTGGCTTTTTTTGTACAGACAGGGGAAACAGAAGCAGAAGTTGCAGAGCCCAGTTCTCAAGTATGGTTAAACTATTGAAATGTACATTTTTTTTAGGACTTACACTGTTAAACAGTTTTGAGAATCTAGACTGCAATGTCCTCCAGGCCAAAAAAAATAAAAACAAGCAAAAAACCAGGGGTTAACTATAAAATTGTGTTTTAATAGAGACTGCAGAAATTTGAAATCCTTCATAGTGAGATTACATTTTTGTATAATACAGAAGATATTCTTTAGCTTGTATAGCATATGTTAATTAAAAAGGATAACAAGCAGGCGGGTGAAAAGCCATAATAGTAGTGAGATGAGATGAAGCATGTACATCATGATCAGTGAGAATCTGCAGCTTGATCTAAAAAGATGTTTAATTAACAAAAACGGCAGATAAAAAATTTGTATTCCTGATGCACTTAAAATAATCTGATTTCAAAATGCTGTGGGAAATGCAGATGATCAGAAAATGAATTTGCAGACAAGTGTGGAAGAAGTGCAGTGACTCCTGCAGATCTCCATCCAGCAGGCAAGCTTTGTAATAAAGACTAATTTTGCTATCAAAGTAAGTCTCAGAATTTATAAAAGAAAGAGGTTGTGCTTTGAACAGAAAAGTCAGAATAGCAATACTGATTGGGAAGAAAATCAGTGATTTGAATGCAAATGCCTGTAGACTGTAGTACAGATTATTACTTTATATTCCTTTCCCAGATATATGAATGAATGTCAAGGTGTTATTAGTGATTTACCTAGAATATTTTATCTTTTCAGCACAGAAAATATTTCTTCCAACCAGATATTCATTACACAGCAGGCTGAATTATGAGTCGTCATGTTGTGCAGTAATCCTTCCATGTACTCAGATGTTAACACTACGGGTAGAGTAAGGCAGCAGTACGTATGGCATCAGCAGGAACAACTTCCACAGCACTTACAGACTCATCTGCAATTTTCACTTTGCGAGTTACCTTTTGAGCTAAGCTGCAATTCTACATCTCTTATCTGCTGAATGCAGCACTGGGGTGGTAACTTGATTAAAGATGCATTTTCAGTTTGCAATAAAGTCAAGTGTATGGAGCTTAAGAGCTTTTGCGATCACATAATAGATATGTGGAAATAGAACCAAGGCATTCCTTGGAATGCTGTATGAGGAAATGACTACAGAAGCTCTGGAAATGCTGCTTTGTTTTGTTTTTAAAAAAGGATTTATACAGAGGTTACAAAAGAAATTGGTATACCAGCCTCTGCAAAGAGGGTAATATAGTCAACAGAACACCTATAGAATATCTTATCAAGGAGCAATCACTTTCTGCAGTGATTAGCAAATTTTTAATTCATACTCAAATTGCAAGGTGAGAATTTTCCCTCTAGAGTATAGCAGAAGAAAAAAAAAAAACCAACAAAATAAGATAGAAACATTAGTGGATCAACAGTAGTTACTCTAATAAGCATGTGTTACATTGTATCTTTATCAGAAGGCAGGATACAGAGTCTTCACATTCAGATTTTTTTAATCAGATCAAGTAATGATTACAATCATTTACAATAGTACAATTTTCCATGGGTACTTGAATGAAGTCCCTGCAGATTTTCCCCTTCCCTCCCCCCCCTCATGGCTTCATCTTCTAGGAAGCAAGAATAAAAATATAGGCTATCCAGCTCCAAATGCGTGTATAAGAACAGGGTATAGCAAGACTTACCCATCTCTAGCACTGGGATCTGCAGTCCCTAGAGGACATAACTGTGTTTGAGCAAATGTGACAGAGTTGATCAAACACACACAAAAAAAATACATTTATATTCAGGAAAACACACAGAACAGGCCTAATTGCTTTGTGATTAAATCATGTGTTTCCTCCTACTGACCTGTTTACCTATTCTTCCTACCAACTAGACTGACATGATCTTATGATGCAAGACATACACACGTGTTTCTGCTTCCATAGTTCCACTATTTTAAAGGATCTGCAGGCACATTACTGTTAGTAAAAAGGCACCAACCAACTTCCAGGTATAATGGAACTGATAGTAAGCTGGAGAATGCAAGCCATGTGCACAACAGGAACAATTTCCAGCTGTAAGAGGCACAGTGAAGGTTACTATGTGATGCAGGTATTTATTTTATCCTTAGACAAGTGATCAAATGCGCTTCCCCAAAAAATCCTTAGAAGGATATTTCCCAGGTATTTTGGGAATTCCTCAATTGACGAAAGACTGACAGTTTCAACTCCAAAACTTACTGTCTTCATTGTACGTAGAAGTCACTTCTGTGACACATCCAAAGTGTCCCAGTCACATCACTCAAAGTGAATACTCATCTGAGTATGGTGAGCTCACAATCTCAACATGTAAGAAAGTGGTAAAGAAAACTGCTACAAGATGTAGCCGGTAGTGAATCGCTAAGGCTAGAAGTACTGAAGCCGAAAGCAGAATAACGTTCATGTTCAGAAGGTCTAGAAAGAAACACAAAGTAAAGCCCATCCATTTTCCCTTTCAATTAGATAGGATAGTTTCTTCCTTGTAGTTATACAAAAACAATCACAGCAACAGAAAACCCAGACTGTGCATTTTAAACTTGCCTGATCTACATAGAAAAAGAGGCCCTTAGAAAATGAAGTTTTCTATTTATTCCCAAGGAAACCATGATAGTCAGGACAATCGCAACATGGAAAGAGAGGGGCACCAGAGACAGCATCTTTAAAGGCTGATTTAGTTCCCCATAGTTGGCATAACCACAGCAGGCTTGGTAACAGTGGCATCTTCCTCTTTCCATTGAGAAATGATAGTTTTCAGCTGTGTGTAGAACTGCACTCCCTGGGGGAAAGAGATGCAAAGATCAGATATTTGGCCTTAGGAATTCTTCATATCTGTGCCACAGGTTTAGCAAGCAGTTGTTTCCCATATCTACAGTGCACTGTGTTTTCCTACATGGGAACAATTCCTGTCAACTTATTCCTTTCAACAGTTCCCCAAAGATTCTGGCCCTATGGGAAAGCTTGCTATTTTAGTTCTTGCTCCCTTCTCAAATCTCCCCCCAGTAAGGGGAGATTTGATGACTATTTTCCCATTGCCACTGCTAACGTAATTTTCCTCAGATCAACCTAAGAAAGTAATCTGAAATTTGGCAAGTTACCTGTTTGCCATAGAAATTTGTATCTCCTCTGAAAGAAGCACGAGAACCAGTGAAAGAGAACATGGGCAGAGGTACTGGAATTGGAACATTGACACCCACCTAAAGCAAAAGATAGCCACCATATTACTCACAAGATAAAAAAAAACAGCAGATTGCAGAGCACTCTCCAAAAATGGCAATATTCTGTATCTTTTAATCTGAAGCTGGGCAGTGTTGGCTGAGTAGTCAGCCATTAGTTGCTGTAGCTGGATGGCTATTTACCACAAATGGTGAGTGAATATCAGTAGCAATAATTCTGGCTTGAACATACCTGCCCCACATCTACTAAGTGAGAATACTTCCGAGCTGTGGCTCCATTGGTGGTGAAGATTGCAGTTCCATTTCCATAGGGGTTATTGTTCACCATCTCAATTGCATCATCCAAAGTGTCTGCTTCCAGAACCACTAAGACAGGTCCAAAGATTTCCTCCTTGTAACAAGTCATGTTTGGCTGCCAAGACAAACAACAGAAAAAGCAGACTGGATATTGAATATAATAAATAGGATATAATATATCAAATATCCTAGGAAAGAGGATATAAACACATCAAGTGCTCAAGCTCAGGGTATCCCTAGAATCACCCATCATATTCCATTGCCTTCAGTCCTGGTTGTCATTCCACTATTTCCCATGCCCTGCCACCTATCTACTAAGGAGGGTACAATTTGCAATTGCTAAAGTACTTTCTGCTTTTACTGCCTGCCTAACATGAGTTACAGGTCTACTCTTTGCTCAAAGCTGATTAAAGCCAGGATTAATTCAGGATAGTTTACTTCATATCTTGCTGATAACCTGCAGTTCTCTGAAACTCAGTGCCCAGGACTTATGCTTGATAATAAGCAGTATCTGACAAACACACAAGTACCAGTTAGGAATTACTTTAATCATTAATAACTAACACAACAAACTACAAAATAGGCACCTGACAGGTAAGCTGTACGTGGTTAATATTGAACTATTAATATTGACCATATATAAAGAACTACAAATAAAAAACACTCAGCGAAACTTTTACTTCTGAATACTATTCACAATGCATTAAAGGAAAGTGAAACATTTTAAGATCTTTAATGAAAACAGTGCAGGAAAACTATGAAACAGATTAAAAGCTGGAAATATATAAACAGCATTTAATCCATAAAATCGTAGGAATACAATAGCAGAACTATCAAGACTGGTATGCCACATTTGAATCACACCAGAGGGCCCAAAATGAATCTAATACTTAAACAGTAATTAACACAGCTGATGGCATAAACATTAAAAAGGAGAACTTAGATATGAAAACCGACTTGAGATGTGTGCCTGGTAAAAAAAATATTCTCCCATAGAGAACGCTGTGCATTATATTGATATCTATAAATAGGAATGTGCAAAGTGTAGGAATGTATAATGGGCAGACAGGAAAATGTCATGTTTGGCTGTTAGTCATAATCTTCTTTAGGCATATGCCGCTGGCCATTGCTACAGAAAGTACACAATGCTCAGTGGACATTTAATTTGACACTGTACAAACTGTCCATGTGTTCTTCCAACTGGCTACATTCAAAAAAATTAAGATTATTAACTTTATTCATATCAGTAATTTTATTAATATTGTTCTGTCCCTGGGAATTCTTTCATCACCTCCACAGCAACATTACACAACCAGCACTTCATTGGAATTGTGCAAGGGAAAACTGAGTTATTTATGAGATTTCTATGTGGTGAATCCTGAATACTGACCAATTTGGCTGACCCATTTTTCAAATGATCCTGCAACATACAGCATCAAGCAGTTTTTGTTAAGTCACCTTGACATTGGCAAGGATCGTTGGTCCAACAAAATTGCCGTTTTCATAGCCCTTCACTTTGATATTACGTCCATCCAGAAGAAGACTGGCACCTTCTTCTACTCCTTTCTGAATCAGGTGGCAAACCCTTTGCTTGGCCTGGGGACTGATTAGAGGCCCTAGGTCTGCTCCAGGCTGGTCTCCTGCAGAGAGGCAGAGATGCAAAGCTTTTAAATGTTCCTCTTCTTAGGCATAATGAAGGTAACTACATTAGCAGGAAAAAATAGGAAAATTCTGGTGTTTCTGAGACACGGAGCAAAGATTTGTACCATTAAGAAACATAATCAACAAACAAGAGAAGTCATAAGCACAGTTTTAGATCAAGATAGCTGATCCTTCTCAGAAAGAAAACTTTTCCTCCATGCAAGACTTTATTTGAAACAAATGAAAAGCAGGAGAATTCTAATATCAATCTCAAAAGTACTTGTTTCCATTTTTCCCTCTTACTGTATGCTTACTACAAATTGGAAGGACCTGTAAGTGAGATTGCTATGTAAAATGTTTGTGTTCTATATGGGACATAATCTCAAAGTTGCAGTTAAAAACAAACCTGTAAATTTTGCAGCACGGTTGTACTGCCATTCCTTCCTAAATACTCCTAACTCCAAGTCTAGGGCTCTGTGTCCCAATCCAGACAATCTGCTAGCTCCCATCTTTATGGATCAAGCCTACAGAGCCAGCAGCTCCAACAGACACACTACAATATGGCAGACACACCAACCTAAAAAGCCACAGTTCTACAGAAGCAAAGTAGCTGGTAAGAAATTATCAGGATCTGTACCTGCATTTACACGTAGATTTTTGGCTCTTTCCACCAACTCTGGCAACCATTTCTGTGCTTCTCCCACTAAAATTGCTGTAGACAGGGCCATACAGCGTTGGCCAGCTGCTCCAAAGGCAGCTCCAACCAGCTGGTTCAAGGTGTTCTCTTTATTGGCATCTGGCATCACCACACCATGGTTCTTTGCTCCCTAAAATACAAAACACATACAGACTCCATTAACCAGCCCCACTCACTTCCCTAGCGCTCGGTAATAACATGGTGTAGTAGTTATGACTTTGCTGCCTACAGGATGGCAAGAAGGTCAGCCTCATCAAGTAATTATCAGTAGCAAAGTCAGTGTCTGCTGCAGAACAGTGTGGTCTGTTTAAGCACGTACAGATAGAGGAAGTCTGTCTGCGTGGTGCTGCATGCTGTACTGAGTGGCATTACCATGTTAGCCTGGACTCTCTTGCCATTCCGGGATCCTCTTTCGTAGATGTACTCGCCAGCCTGATTAGATCCCACAAAGCTGATAGCTCTGATATCCGGATGGTCACAAATGAAGTTCACAGCTTCAAATAGGAAATAATACATTATACACCGTAGTATAAAATGCTTCCCCCTGTCCTCATCCCCATGCTGCTAATCTATGCACCTTTCTTCTCGTTAGAATTCTTGCATCTGTCTCCAATATTTGAGTTCCACCGCTGCCTGCTCATGCGTTTCTCCACTCTAACTTCTCAGCATGTGAGCTCTGCCCCAGGGCTCATACAACAGGATTTCTGCTGGCTTTCCATGCGTTGAGCCCCAGGTACTCAAAACACGGGCCCGCCAGTCAAATCTCAGGAGCTCTGCACATATATGATAGGGGCTAAGACAGAGGTCTTTCCAAACCTCTCTAACAGCAGTAGGATCAGATGCTCAAACAGCTCTAACACCTCCACTAGCACACACCACAACGCATACATACTCCAATCCAACAAGAGCTATTATTACCTTCATGCTGTCCATGGATGATATTCAGAGTCCCATCTGGGGCACCAGCATCTTGAAACAGCTTGGCAAGGAACATGAGTGCACCTGGCACACGCTCAGAAGGTTTCATCAAGAATGTGTTTCCACAAACCATAGCCATGGGAAACATCCAGAGAGGAATCATCGCTGGGAAATTGAACGGTGCAATGCCAGCACACACACCCAAAGGCAGACGGTAGGTGCAAGTGTCCATGTCTTTAGTGATGGAGGGCATGGTCTCTCCCAGTATGAGAGATGTCACACTGCAAGCGTGTTCAACCACCTCTGCAGCAGAAAGGGCAACATGCCACTGGGTGATCTGTTAACGGTCACTCCCCATACTCCCTTCTCAGCACTACCTTGACCCAAGTCCTTCTTCCAGCCACGACTTAAAACTCATTGTGCTCCAGAAAATCCCTCTGCTCTCCCAAGCACTGTGAGCTCACTGTGAATGGATTCTCTCCTGAGTATGCTATACACCACTGTGATAGAAGCACAGATTCAACAGCCCCAGTAAAAGTAGTACAGATGTAGTTTTAATGTACCAGCTGGGATTCAACCTCAGACATTTCAGCACAAGTGAGAAGTTCCTATCTCTTTGCAGCATTCAGTACTCACTCCTAGGAAAATAAAGGATCAAACAACTTGGAAGTGACTTAAGAACTCTACCTAAGGGAACTTCTCAAGTTGGAGTTACAACTGCCCTTCTTTTTCAGAAGGAAGTTATGAGGGGAGCTAGATGTACAAACTCCAAGAGCAAACAGTTGCTCAGGAGAATTCCTCCCTTCCTGTGGGTTCTGAAAGCCCCTTTTGTAACAGACGGAGCCAGCAGCTTACGGAGGCCTCGGAACACATCTCCCTCAGCGTCAGCCAGGGTCTTCCCTTGCTCAAAGGTGATGAGTTTTGAAATTTCTTTCTGAAAATGGAAAACACAAAGTTTATGAATGTTAGGAAAATGCCTGCCCGTGAAGAAGGGCTCAGGGATAAGTTTAACATCTACTGAATATTACGGTCTGAATAGATCCTGGGAAAGCCGACAAGGGCTGGACAAGAAGTCAATGAGCTACACAAGTGATATTGTAAAAAAACCACCAAAACCAACAAACAACTGTGGGCTGGCTTATATTCTATTGCTTTCATGTGTCACAACACAGACACAGAAAAACCTGGGGAATCCAAAAATACACTTCTCTCACTTGTCTTTGTCAACTGGCACATTCTCCACCAAGGTCCTCCTGTGGTATTTTGGTAAAAGAAACAAATGCAGAATAATATTCCCTAAGAAGTACTGCTTCTGTGTCTGCTTCGGCCTGGAGAGTGCTTTGCTACCTCTCAGTGATGGTGACTCTGTCAGCTCCTCACTTACAGCAACAACACCTTAACAGCAACTCAGTTAATGATTAAGTCTCTCAATTTTGTTCACAGTCAGCTGCAATGCATTCAGCAACAGCCATCACACATAGCCTCAGTGTCTCACCAGATTGTCTTTGATGAGCTGTTGGTAACGCAGGAAGATTTGCTGGCGACTCAAAACAGATGTTTCTGACCAGTTCCAAAAAGCCTTTTTGCAAGAAGTTACAGCTGCCTCCATTTCACTAGTTGTAGCTTTTGGTACACGAGCAACCACTTCATTTGTGGCCTGATGGAAAGAAACAAATTGTATCAAAACTCAATTTTTTCCAGCTGTCCTTGCCAACCATTCAACAGTCCTTGCACACCACACACTTAATACCTTTATTCTAAAAGGAGCTGTACTTCTCAGGGGGAAACAGAAAAGAGACTGCTGTCTTAGTGCACACTGAGAGGCCTGGACCACAGCTGGAATTCTATGCATTTTGTAGTTCTGAAAATCTTCAGTCTACACTTCTCAAATCAGGCACACAGAAAAGTGTAAATGCAGTACCGGTTTCCAAGTGGGAATTTCAGTGACTTGTCTGACACATTTTGAAATTTATCAGGACTTCACATTCAGCTGGCATCAAATTATATCGGGCTGCATACATGCAGGATGAAAGGAAGCTTTCTGAAATTTTGACATCACATTCACAGAGCCCTTCTATGTGAAAAATAGTTAAGAAGGATTTCAGCTTTCCCTCTAGAGATCAGGGGTTTACTACATAGGGAGATAAAAGAGGTCATTACTTCCCTAACACTGACAGTGAACATGAAGAGGAAACTGTGAAGCAATTACACAACGCTAAATCCATCTTAAGCTCCAACTCTGAGCTTTCTCCAGAAGCACACACACTTCACATACTTCCCCCTTTCATCAAGTGATTCAAGGAAATCACAGCACCCTCTTGCAAACCAATTGTGGGTATATGAGCAGAAGCCATTTCACTTACTGGGTTGTGGATATCGATCCATTCTGTGGTCTTGGACTCAACAAACTTCCCATCGATGAACAGTTTGGTTGTTGGCTGTGGAAGACAGGACAGTGAGTGATCTTTGCCTGAAGGTGCACACATAACAATGTGCCCTATTATGTGCAAGCTTTTGTCATTTATTCCTGTACTCCATTTTTTCCCTCAATTTAGACTAAAATTGTTAAAACCCTGTCTAAAAATGATTACAGAAGATATACATTGCTAGAATTATGTTCAGAACTATTTTAATCTACTCAGTCACTACAATTACTAAGTCACAAAAGCCCTGCAGTTCCTAAACGTATTAAAAAAAAAAAAAAACATTAATAATTCCCTTTGTAAGAATTCCGCTCACTTGGTGCAAACTGCGCTACGCTTCCTTCCCATCAAGTCACTAAGCTGGTTCATCTCCCAGCTCATAGCTGTAGGCACAGTGCTGTCCTGTTCCTGCTTCCCAAGTGGTTCTGCAGCCAAGAGCAGGGAACCTGTTGCTGCTGAGCTCACAGCCATGGTCATGGCAGGCAGCACAGAGGGCACAGCTATTCAGTTCAGATGCAGAAGAAACAAAAATGAGAGTTTTGGTTAAGGAGCTCAGGTAAGTATGGAGAAGAAAAAGCAGGGGTAGAAGATGCAGTTAGTGCTGTAGCATGCAGGAAAAACTGGGGCTGCACAAGTGAAGAGACTGGAAACTAGTAACTGATATTGAGAGGTAATGAAGAAACCTGGAGAAAGTGAGAAACGCTTCATGCTGCCACAGAACATTCACTTGGGGAGAATGGATAGGAAGAAGAGGAAACAGAGATGCGGAGTGAAGAACAGGGATGGTACACAGGTCTTAGAAATGAGGATAAAACCATGTATATCAGGAAGCTGTGTGAAGAGAATTGGGACATGGAGTTATGAGAGGGCGATCACAGAATCATTAAGGTTACAAAAGACCTCGAAGATCATCTAGCCCAACCATCAACCCATCACCACCATGCCCACTAACCATGTTCCTCAGTGCCACATCAACACAATTCTTGAACACCTCCAAGGATGGTGACTCCATCACCTTCCCTGGGTAGCCCAGCCTATTCCAGTGGCTCACCACTCTTTCCAAGAATATGTTTCCTAATACACAACCTAAGCCTCCTCTGGCACAACTTGAGGCCATTCCCTCCCAGCCCAAAACTGAACATAGTACTTGAGATCCCAAGTATAGGAGGACAATCCCTTCCCTGCTGACTGCACTATTTCTGATATAAGCCAGGATACCATTGGCCTTTTTGGCTAGCTGAGCACACCGCTGGCTCATGTTCAGCTGGCTGTCAGTAACTAACACCCCCAGATCCTTTTCCTCTGCAAAGTCTTCTAGCTACTTGATCCCAAGCCCGTAGTGTCACATGGAGTGCACCAAAGTGCAGGACCAGACACTTGGTCTCATTAAAGCTCACACAATTGACCTCAGCCCATTGATCTAACCTGTCCAGATCCCTCTGTAAGGCCTTCTTATTCTCAGGCAGATTGACACTTCCTCCCACTGTGGTGTCATCTGCAAATTTACTGAGGATGCACTAAATTTCCATGTCCAGATCATCAATAAAGATGAATAAATCAGGATAATTCACTCTCTGAGTCTGCCCCCCCAGCCAGTTCTTTACTTAGCAAAGAGTGTACTTGTGCAAGCCATGGGCTGCCACCTTCTCCAGAAGGATACTATGGGAGACAGTGCCAAAGGCTTTGGTGAAGTCTAGGTACACTTTGTCAACAGCCTTTCCCTGATCCACCAGGCAGGTCACCTGGTGAGGGCAATGAGGACAGGGATGCTCACACTGGTGTGATGGTGGGAGAGAGATAAGAGGACAAATCAGGAAAGTAAATGGGGCTGACTTGGACAGGTCGTGGCAGTGAAAAGTGGAGGAGTGAAAAAGGAAGAGAACGGGGCTGAGGCACTGTCAGTGAGCAGGGCTGAAGTGAGATGTCTGACCTAATGCCGGTAATGGATGAGCGAGGCCTTGGCTTGCGAAGGAATACCGCAGTGGGTTAAAATAAGAATAAAACGTTACAAGTGCTGATGTGGCTGACATTACAGTGGGGCAAGCGGAGCCTCGGACTGCGTTCGGGAGAAGACCATCTCCTCCAGAACTGAAGGAAGTGCAGGAAATCCGAGCTCCTCCCGGCCCGGCAGAACCTCGGTGAACTACCCAACAGCAGCCTCACCGCCCCGCAGCCCCACCGCCCCGCCGCAGGCCCCCCTCCCGCCCGCCCGCCCGCCGGAGCGCTTCGCCCAGCTGCACTTCTGCCCCGGGGAGCCGCCCGGCGCCACTCACCACAGAGGAGGAGGCGGCGGCCGAAGCGATCCAGGGAACACCGGTTCTTGGCGGCAGCTGGATGGGGGACACAAAGCAGTCCGGTTACGCGGGGCTCCCCGCCGCCCCCAGATCCCCTACTTCCCCCCCGGGGTGCCATCCTTGGCCCCGCCTGCAGTGCTCTGTGGCCGCCGCCTCACCCTGAGCGCTACGTGTCGCCGCCCGCCCCAAACGCTACGCGCCGCCGCCGCCGCCATGCCGGCCGAGGGTCGCTGCGCCGCGGACCCCGAACGACGCCCCTCGCCACACCTCCTGCCCGCCCGAAGGCCCGCCTCCGCCCGCTCATTGGTCAGACGAGTGCCCTCCTCGCCCGCTGCACGCCCCCTCCGGAGGGGCCTTGCCGGCCGCCAGCCAATCGCCGCCAAGGCCGCCGAGGGAGAGCCTCACCCCGCCCCCTCTCGCCACCGCCCCCCCCTCCGGGGCAGCGATTGGCCACGAGAACTGAGGCGCACTGGCTCGGCTCTGTGGTCACATGGGTGGATTCCCGCGGGTGGCGGGTTTAGGTCACGTGACGCGCGCAAGATGGCGGCTCCCGGGGATGGTAAGGCGCGCTGATGGGGTTATCGTCACCCTGCGGTGTGATCTGGCCGTGCGCCGCTTCACCTCTGCTCCGTTCCCTGTATTGTAGGTGCCGATCTGGAAGCCTCACTGCTGAGTTTTGAGAAGCTTGACCGGGCTTCTCCGGATCTGTGGCCTGAGCAGTGTGAGTGCGGCCGGCCCATGCGAATGGGGTGATGGCGGGGCTGCCGGCCCGGCCCCGCGCTCACCCGGCGCTGTTCGCTTCTCTTTTCCAGTGCCCGGCGTCGCCGAGTTCGCCGCCTCCTTCAAAAGCGTAAGCTGTCCCTACTTCGTGTTGTGTGGCTCTTACTGTGACTGCGACTTGTCGCAGCTCGGGAGGAAGGCACTGCCCTGAACCTTGGGGAATGCTGCTCTTGCTGCTGACTTCAGCTGGTGTCTTACTGTAACTCCCGGCTTGCTTAGGGAGAGCTAGAAAATAGAAATAGACATTAGAGTATCCCTGTAGGGTACCTGGAGCCAGTTATCCTGTCAGTGTAACTAGTAAATGTTAGATCAGGCTTTGTATGCTGCTAAAAATGTACTTATCTGAGCATGCTTTGCCTTTTGTCTTTTTTTTTTTTTTTTCTCTCCCTAAACCAGCCTATTACAAACTCACCTCCCAAATGGATGGCTGAACTGGAAAATGATGATATCGATATGTTAAAGGGTGAGTATGAGCACCATAGGTAGCGAGGTTGGCTGTGAATGGAAATTCAGTGCCTAATGAGCTCGGGGGCCTTCTGAAGCCTTCTGCAAGTGAAGGGATGGGGGATGCTCCTCTTATTCTGTTCAGTGCTTCCAGGATTTTGTCCTGGTTGCCCAACCATTTTATGCTAATTTTACTTTTTTATCATGCTTTTAATTTGCTTCAGTTCTGAAGGCAGGAGGCTCCTGTTAGTAACTCCCACAGCCTCAGGCCTCTTGTCCTTACATCTGCAAAATCAGAATCTCCAGCTGAATGATTCTGCTTAGGAGTCTTTGTCTTGTTCATTACCTATATTTTAGTTAGTCCTATCATCTGCAAGAATATATCTTGATTACAAATGCAGTTGTTCTCCTTGTTACTGCTTTTTGAACCAGTAAATCCCTGGTTTATTTTTCTTTATTTTTTTCTTGCCATTCCTGTTTTGGAATGGTTGGAATGTCTTGCTGGTTGTTATGAGCTGTGAGAAGAATATATGCTGTACGCTGTAAACTGATAGTGTTGAAAGTGTGACTTGAATGCTCTGTGAAGTGGTAAACATATAAACTGCCACTAGAGGGCTACAGACAGTGTTAAAAATCACACTTTTTCTTCTTAGAGCTGGGAAGCCTCACTATAGCTAACCTGATGGAGAAGGTTCGTGGCCTGCAGAACTTGGCTTATCAGCTGGGACTGGATGAATGTGAGTTTTGTGCACAGATGTGACCACTGTGTTATAAATCTTGCCACTGAAGTGTGTGTTTGTGTTGCACTTACAGTCAGAAAAGTACATTTACAGATGTGGGAAGTGGCGCACAATTATGACAGCGCAGTAGAGAATTTTCTGAAGAAGAAAAGAGTGCTTCTCTAAGCAAGTCTGTCATGGGTGCAGTGAAGCCTAATAGAGCACAATTAAAAGAATTTCTTATTTTAGATTTTTTTTTTTCCTGTTTTGTATGTTAAGGTCTGGTTTTTCTAGTGGCCCATAAATTTCTGACTTAGCTTTGGCGTAGGGAAATCACAGGTTTTGCTTCTTAGGTGCTAACACTCTTTATCAGAGTATCTGTGCCAGCACTTCCATGAAACCTTTTGTACTGCCTATAGAGTAAAAATTTAACTGGTGTGAAGGATTCTGTTAGCCATTAGTGCTCTTGCAGCTTTTGGCCTCTCAGTTATTTTTCTCCATAGTCAGCAATAGCAGGAGGTACTGTGGCTGCATTCTGAAGTTGACCTTCATCCCACTTACAACAACCAGTTCATGTCTGTGCCTTTTTTAAGGAGGGGGAAAAAAGATGCCTTTTTTTGTCATCGTTGCATTTAGGATTTTGCTGTTAATGTGGTGATCCAGCTTTGAAGATTCCAAAGGGATTGTGTTTCCTTTAAACGGTACCTGTGCATATTGATGCAATTAATTTTTTCTTCTTTATTTTGCTTTGTCATAGACTTCAGTTACAGCTAACTCTTGGGCTTTACATGTAGCTTTGAACATTTTTAGACTTAAAGATTTTTCAGCTTCATTTCAGTGGGTAACAAAAAGTGGGTTAAACTTTGAAGTCTCATGATAGTAAGCCTGGAATACCCAAATGCTTTCTTATCAATAGGTCATTAAGCCTGTTTGAACACGTTCTCCATAGGTAGAAATTTACTTTCAGTGCTAACATCTGCAAAGATTGAATAAGGCTTTTAGTGGAGTAGAAGTTATACTTTAACAATGGAAGTCTTAATCAAATAATAAGATTGGCAGATGATTGGCCTTCTCAATTAAGCTGTAGGTTTACATGTCAAGCAGCTTTGGTGTGCTAAATAGAGTTTAAGCAGAACTCAAGAGAGCAAAAAAGATTAACAACTTTTTGTTGTGTTTATTTCTGTTTATTTTTACTGGAAAGAAATATGAAAAGAAGACCAAGTAAGAAAATAGAAGATCTGAGATTTGAGAGTGATATCCATTAGTGTGTAGCAATTGAAATATTAAATTTCTAAGGTGTATATATAACCTCTCATCGTATTTGCAATTTCTTTTCACTGAAGTCTACCTTGCTTTAACCTGTAATACATTGAATGCTTTGTGTGTCATGACATATATGTTTATGTTGGGAAATCTTTCACATATAAGGAAATGCTGAGCTTGAACATGGGCTCTCAGGGCTATTTCTTTCAGTACTATCTTTTTCTCTTGTAGACTTAGGTTAGTAAGAGAACAAGAAGAAAAATCCAGAAGATCTGCTCATTAAAGTTAAAGAGCTCGTGGTTTTGTTTCAGTGGTATATGATTTGATTTTGCCTTTTTGGATTGAAACTTAGTATTTCACATTTTACATAGTGATGATCAAAACTGCTTACCAAAAACAGAATTAAGAAACCCTGCTGATTGCCCTCCTCTAGATGGCAGCATGAAGCTTCTGACAGCGGTCCTGAGACTTCAAAAATATTGTGCAGTCTGTCATGATTTGAAGTTCTTCTCAAGGGTTACTTTGACACTTTGTGTTCTAAATTTGCACTGTCCTTTTGACAATATTTTCTTGTTTCCTCTGTACTGTGTGAGAAACAATTCTGCTTCATTGTGTCAGTATTTTATTTACTTTACTTTCCAGTGCTGCCTTCTACATTCCAATTCCTTTGTATTTTCAAAGGCTTTTGTTTTTGTCTGAGTTACTGGTAAAAATGCTGTCTGGACCATGATGATTCCTGCAGTGCTCCATGACCAAAATGCCTGTTTATTGACTTTGTAATTATGTTGTGAGATCTGTTATTGAACCAGTTCATGGCACTCTTCACATTAATTTTGTATGATGATTCATTTGGTTAAAGGAAGTGTGGGACTGAATACCTCTGTGAAGTTTATCAAGGCAGGATTCCGGCACTTAAAATTACATTTTGTCAAATCTATTGCTCAGATTTCAGTTTGATTAATTTAATCATTACTGAATTATATGCCGCCTTAAATTCATATGAGCTTCTTTCTAGTTTGCCTGGGCTCAATGGAAGGGTGATATACTCCTAAACACTTGGGTTATTCTACCAGTTATTTTAAAATGCTAGCACTATGCTAGCTGTCTTCAGTGTCTGAGAGCATCTTGTGTGGCCCAGGGGTGCATACATGCTGCCTGTTTGTAAAGTATTGCTGATGCTGGAATAACTATCAGCCTGCTGTGCTGTTGTAGGGTAGATTTGATGATATCACCAGTGCAAGGCTTTCTTCAAAGCCAGATTCTTTTTAAGGTCTGATGTATCTGGGAAGGTAATGGTACTTGTTTACATTATCTTCGATACTAGAAAACTCAGAATAACTGACCTTACAAACATGAATACTGTTTATACTTTCCCTGTCTGCAGTGCTAGTCTTCTCTTTTGGGTTAGATTATATTTCTGTTTGGAGCTGAAGCTGTTTTGTGCTTTTCTTCCTGTAAAATTAGGAATGTATAATGACTGCATTGTCCAATCTCAAATCCTCGTACTTCAAGAGCAATGAGATTGTTACTGGACATGGTCAACCAAGTATCCCTCTTAGTTTTGTGTGCCCTGGCTTTCACTGGAATCCAGGAAGTTTTGTCCCATTTCCTTTTCTGTAGCACCAATTTCTTTTCCATATATGTTCAACATGGTCAAGCAAATTAAATAGCTATCCTATAGTGGAGGAGCTGTTTGATGCTAACTAAGGGGCCAAGAATTAGCCTTGGATGAGGCGGGGATGTCAGGTAAACAACGAGGGTGTCAGTCTTGAAGCACCAATGATAAAGGAGAAGTCAGCTAGGATGTAGTCAGAATTAGTGATAGTTTTCATTAATGTGAAAAACGAATAAATAAGTTAGGAGTTTTTTTTTTTGCCTGGATAGACAACTGTGCCATGTGTGGAAAAATGTCTGTAGAACTGCTGAATGCGGAGGATGCACGTATGGGGAGCAGCTTTTCGCTGTTTCTCTAAGTATGGGGGCCAGTGAGAACCAGTGGTGTGTCAGGACAAAAGCAAGGTGGAACTT